GTACCTATGTCATCAAAAGGAGTAGGAAAACTTCATTTTATTGATGGAAATGTGGACACAAACAAATATTTGGCAATTTTAGAACGATCGCTTTTACCAGTGGTGGAAGAATATGTTTGACATCCGGCCAAGATTTTGTGTTTCAGCAAGATGGTGCAGCGTGCCATACCTCAAACAAGGCTATAAAATGGATAGAAGAAAATAATGTACCACTTTTGAAATGGGTTTCTAGCAGTCCAGATCTGTCACCTATTGAAACTTTGTGGCACGAGATGAAAAAGGTTCTACGACAACATCCTGCTCGTACAATCACCGAACTGAGAAAAAAGCTTCAAGAAATATGGGATTGTTTTACACCAAATTTTTGCCAAAACTTGGTTAACACTATGCCCCAAAGAATTTCAGCCGTAATAAAAAATAAAGGTGATGTTACCCAATGATAATCTTTCAATTGTTGCTTTGTTACCTTCGCGCATTTATTCGCACATTGTTTATTTGTTCAGATGTTCTATTAGTTATAGGTATAAGTGATTTCTAATATGTATTTTTTACGACTAGAGTGTATCTAAAATGTTTTTGAGAAAATAAATTGTTTTAGAAGTAAATAGTTTCGTCATGTTTAGTTTATAAAGGCATATTTTGGTACAAATCTTGAAGTGGGCCAACTGAAGTGGGAAGGAGCTCGTAGTATGTTATATCAATCATTTATTTTAGAATAATCTCGATGTCCCATAAAATATAGGACATCAGACTAAGAAAAATTGACAGCTTTTAACATTTTCCCTATGAAATGTCTCAAATATCATTACATTATCTGATAGACATTCCCAACATTGATATACATACTATAACGTTTTGATGATTGGTTGTTGTACAAATGTACAAAACGCTTAAATTTGACTGCCTGTCAGTTCGCCAGTTCGAAAAATGCTATTTTAATAAATTCTAGAGTACTCATAAAGGGCTTCAAAATGAGCTATAACACGACCCCCCATTCCATTTGAAAAATGTTTCAAAATAGCGCCTAGCCGCCACCTTGAAATCTTCAACTGCCTCCTGTACTCTAAAATATAGTATTTATGTATCAATTTCATTACCCCGAATTTAGCTTGCTGACTTGTCCCGTTCGAAAAGTAAGTAGGGGGGGGGGGGGCTTTTTTATAAAGCACAGTATATTATAGGTCTCGATGCGATACGAAGTGACTATTAAAGCTCTAAAAACAGGTTTAAAATATTTGAAGTTTCCATATACGAGTTCAAAGCACATACACATATTTTGTCACACATTTCGATATTTAATCGCAAAGCAAGAAAAAAAGATAAAGATGATACAGTATTTCTACATTTGTAGCAGGAATTAATGTTATGGACCTAATACCCTACTTTTCTTGACTCTCCTCGTACGAAGCTTCCAGTCTGACACGACGAAGTAATAGTTCGTCTAAAAATTGGCAATTTTGCCCAGAACGTGATGAAATTTGTACCGTTCGCAACCCTCCCCCCACTTTTATACGCCACTGCCCTTTCCCGTAGGATGTGTGCCATCTTCTTCGCACTTTTAACTATTCAGTGGAAATAAAACATTTTGATACGCCATTGAAACTGCGATTCTAATAAAGTTTGTTACTTTCTTGTAAGTCTGTCGATAAATGCACGTAAGCAGACATAACGATCATTCTGTCAGTGCTAAATATGGAAGTAATGGAAACGGTTACACGAAATTAGCGGTTATCAGTATCAGTGACTCCAAAGGGTTATCAACTCATTGGTAGTGGCGCTGCTTGGTCGTATTGAATTATTCATTTGTTTGTTGCCGCTGGGTGAATCCTTGGCATATTATGTCATCGCTATGTTTGTATTTGTATACATTTTTCAATAAACTAACCATGCTGGTTGATATTTTGCATTATATATTTCGGAACGTCATGTTTGTTAAAATACGAAACCCTGCTTTTCCTGTACTTAACATTACCGTTATTTTGAACGGTGCTTATTGTATCGACCTTCCCAGATCAATCGATATTTTTGACTATCTAACCAATTGGATATTTTCCAAAACTTATAATGCTACGGAAAAACTTTTTTTTCTCCAGAAAGTGTATATTGAGTGTCTGAAAACGCGTATTATTGACGCTGCTGCAGCGTGAAAAGTTGTAGGTGCCCAATAAATTCTAATACCCTGTCTTTGGAAGGTGATCCTACTTTTGTCGTCAGAAAATAACGCTTTTCTCCGAGGATGACAATTTGACATGAAATCTACGTGTATATGCACACGAGCAAAAAACAGAATAAAGTGTATCATCACATGTACTACACATAAAGGCGTTATTATTATTATTCATATTATTATTATTATCCTTGAAAAATTCTGTATTTCCTATCTACGAGCCCCTTCCCACTTCAGTTGGCCCACTTTAAGATTTGTATCAAAATATGCCTTTATAAACTAAACATGACGAAACTATTTACTTCTAGAACAATTTATTATCTCAAAAACATTTTAGATACACTCTAGTCCTAAAAAATACATATTTGAAATCACTTATACCTATAACTAATAGAACATCTAAACAAATAAACAATGTGCGTATAAATGCGCGAAGTTAACAAAGCAACAATTGAAAGATTACCATTGGGTAACATCACCTTTATTTTTTATTACTGCTGAAATTCTTTGGGGCATAGTGTTAACTAAGTTTTGTAAAAAATTTGGTGTAAAACAATCCCATATTTATTGAAGCTTTTGTCTCAGTTCGGTGATTGTACGAGCAGGATGTTGTCGTAGAACCTTTTTCATCTCGTGCCATACAGTTTAAATAGGTGACAGATCTGGACTGCTAGAAACCCATTTAAAAAGTGGTACATTATTCCTTTCCATCCATTTTATAGCCTTTTTTGAGGTATGGCACGCTGCACCATCTTGCTGAAAAACAAAATCTTGGCCGGATGTCAAACATTCTTCCATCACTGGTAAAAGCGATTCTTCAAAAATTGCCAAATATTTGTTTGTATCCACATTTTCCATCAATAAAATGAAGTTTTCCTACTCCTTTTGATGACATACTGCCCCAGACCATAATGGATGCTGGAAATTTCACTTTTCTCTTCAGACAGTCAACATGGAATGCTTCATTTTTTTGCGAATAATTCTACTGCGACTGTCACCAACACACAAACTTCGAATCGGGTCTCAGCACTCCATTGTATTGCACACCATTGTTGATTTGTCCATTGTCTATGTTCTTTAGCCCATCTAAGCCGATTTTTCTTTTGCAGTGGAGTTAATAGTGGCTTTTCTTTGGCCTATAAACAAGTTGTGCAACTTTGGGGTTTTTACTTCACTTTTTTTTATAAGAAAACTTACCTTGCAAGTGCTAAATCCCAGTTTGTGGGCCTCTCTATGAGTTGTGGACCTCGAAATTCTCCTTCCAACAGTGTCACTCCACAGAGCACTTAATTGTAAACACTTGGCACGCCTGTTTTTCACGATTATTCTTCTTAATGCTCTTCGGTCGGCATTTGTGATATTAGTTTTTTTAACATATCGTGGCTTAATATTAACTGAACCAGTTACGTTATATCTTCTAACAATATTTCTCACACTGTACCGCGATAAGTCTAACAAAGTTGCAATTTCTGAGTTTGATTTTCCCAGAATTAAAAAATTTAATTATCAGTAACCGAATTTTCTCACTAATAACCTTTCCTCTACCCATTTTGAAAACCTTAACTACCCAAAACTATTTTAAACGTATTCTGACAGCTGTGATTAATAAAAACAATTGTCGTGGCTTTTACTTTTCACAGCCACCTATGCGTTATAGACTTATTTTGCATTGAAATCAAAATAGGTTGATATGCTGTAATTGCAACATGTGTTATTTTTATGCTGCAAATTTGATTAGGGAGAGTGATAAATTTGGTGTACTATAAATTATCAAAATATTCATTGTTAATATTTTAAACCTATAACACCCTGCTAAATTTTTATTATTTGTGTTTGATAAGCAAAAAAACTAAGATTTCAATAGTTGGGCCAACTGAAGTGGGAAGGGGCTCGTATACGGGAAGTAACCTTCAGGCATAATAAGACCGTAAGACGGGTGCTCTCGTCGCTCGATTTCAATAGAGCATCCGGTCCAAAATAAATTGCTGCTGTTATACAGAAGAGGTGTGAAGTAGAATTTGCTTCACTTCTTTCACGTCCCGTCCAGATATCTTACGTTTCGGGGACCTTCCCAGAAAACTGGAAATTTACTCATGTCCAGTCCGTCCCAAAAAAAACCCACCCTCACATTTACAGAGTCTACTTCTGTTGTAAGTAATGTGATAGAGAGGTGCATAAATCGCGAGCTTCTGAAGTACGTTAAACATCACGGCTCGGTTAGTGACAGCCAGTTTGGTTTGCGGCATCAGCGATCAACTGATGACCTCCCAGCTTACGTCACGCAACTGTGGAATAAACTCAACCAGTTATATGGCAAGGCTCATGTCGTTATCCTTGATATACTGCCCTCTCACGCAAGTCATGAACCCCCAGAGAAGCTTTGCAAGCTATCCGTGATAATTGAAGCTTTCTCCTCCTATTCCCACAATGTCAACCGGATGTTCCCTAGGGATCGGTCCTCGCTCCGAAATGTTTTTGTTGTATATCAGCGCCCTTCTTTCCTGTACGATCAATGCGATCCACAGCTTGGCTGATTACAGCACTGTACATGCAGGAATAAAAAGCATTCTTGATGGGTCAAAATAAAAAAAACAGTTCTCATTCACTTTAGAGAGTAGCCAAAAAATAGGTGGCTCAAGAATTTTCGATTTTTCAAGCCTAATTTTAAGGTACACTACGAAAATGAAAAGACTATGGTCGCCGAACGTTTTCAAAAATGTTTTTTTCTGCTGTTTCGCGAATCCAGCAATCAGTTTGAAGGCACTTTAAAAACGTTTTTGGAAACACTGGGCATAATAGATACCAAAAGCGCTAAAAGTATATTGAAGAATAATTGGATTGACATATTCTATATCTACTAATTCTCTTATTTCTTTTTCAGATATAATGCAAGAACAGTTCGTGGATTCTTGAAGCAATTAATCATGACACGTAGAAGCAACTTTATCAATTACATAGTGATAGACACCTGAAAGTCTCAACAACAGCCAAAATGCATGTCAATCATAATTTGATATCACTAAAATGTGTTCTATTCCTGTTCTTCGGGGGTAAGTCGATTTATTTTTATCCTAACATCTATTTATGTTGCTCCTGGTTTCAGTTGATTTATCTCTCAAACCATTTAAAGCTCGAAAAGATATTACGTTCGATATCGCTTCGTCCCTAGAAACTTTATCATTCTTTAGCGTCGCTTCCTCGCTATCTGATAATTTAAATGTTTGTCTAATCAGTGTCAGGTGAAAGTGTTTTACTATATCATTACACCATTACTGTAATTTCTCATTTTTCATTACAAACTTCAGCTACTTTGTAATTAGTTTCAGTCACGCACCGTTTTATATCACTAAGATACGATAAAATGTAGGTAACACATATGTCAAATTGGATGTTTTCAAATATACCGAACGGGTGACAAGTGTCTAGAAAAGTCTACCAGTGGAAATCGGTTATTCTAAAATAACTTCTGAACAACACTGTCTGATTCTCTGAAATATGACTGCGTATAGTTCATTGCACGGCTTTTGGCGAGTCTCACTAAAAGTACCGTCAATATTTCTATACATCCATCTCCCTCACACAAACATATGCAACCTGCGTCTGTGCGTGTACGTTTGTGCAAGCTTATACAAAAACTGAGAACTGACTAGTATTAAGACCTTATGAAAAACAACTCATTTATGTTGCCAGGTAGAGACTAGCCCTAATGCAATACGAGCCTCTTCCCACTTCACTTGGCCCAACTATTGAAATCTTAGTTTTTTTCTTATCAAACACAAATAATAAAAATGTAGCAGGGTGTTATAGGTTTAAAATATTAACAATGAATATTTTGATAATATATAGTAGAAAACACCAACTTTATCACTCCCTAATCAAATTTGCAGCATAAAAATATAGTTGCAATTACAACATATCAACCTATTTTCATTTCAATGCAAAATAAGTCCATAACGCATAGGTGGCTGTGAAAAATAAAAGCCATGACAATTGCTTTTATTAATCACAGCTGTCAGAATACGTTTAAAATAGTTTTTTGTAGTTAAGGTTTTCAAAATGGATAGAGGAAAGGTTATTAGTGAGAAAATTTGGTTACTGATAATTAAATTTTTTAATTCTGGGAAATCAAACTCAGAAATTGCAACTTTGTTAGACTTATCGCGGTACAGTGTGAGAAATATTTTTAGACGATATAACGTAACTGGTTCAGTTAATATCAAGCCGTGATATGTGAAAAAAGTAATATCACAAATGCCGAGCGAAGAACATTAAGAAGAATAATCGTGAAAAATTGGCGTGCCAATTATTTATAATTAAGTGCTCTGTGGAGTAACGCTGTTGGAAGGAGAATTTCGAGGTCCACAACTCATAGAGAGGCCCACAAACTGGGATTTAGCACTAAAAAAAAGTGAAGTAAAAACCCTAAAGTTGCAAAACTTGTTTATAGGCTAAAGAAAAGCCACTATTAACTCCACTGCAAAAGAAAAATCGGCTTAGATGGGCTAAAGAACATAGACAATAGACACCTCAACAATGGTGTGCAATACAATGGAGTGATGAGGACCGATTCGAAGTTTGTGTTGGTGACAGTCGCAGTAGAGTTATTCGCAAAAAAAAAATGAAGCATTCCATGTTGACTGTATGAAGAGAAAAGTGAAATTTCCAGCATCTATTATGGTCTGGGGCAGTATGTCATCAAAAGGAGTAGGAAAACTTCATTTTATTGATGGGAATGTGGATACAAACAAATATTTGGCAATTTTAGAAGAATCGCTTTTACCAGTTATGGAAGAATGTTTGACATCCGGCAAAGATTTTGTGTTTCAGCAAGATGGTGCAGCGTGCCATACCTCAAAAAAGGCTATAAAATGGATGGAAGAAAATGATGTACCACTTTTGAAATGGGTTTCTAGCAGTCCAGATCTATCACCTATTGAAACTTTGTAGCACGAGATGAAAAAGGTTCTACGACAACATCCTGCTCGAACATCACCGAACTGAGACAAAAGCTTTAAGAAATATGGGATTGTTTTACATCAAATTTTTGCTAAAACTTGGTTAACACTATGCGCCAAAGAATTTTAGCCGTAATAAAAAATAAAAGTGATGTTACCCAATGGTAATCTTTCAATTGTTGCTTTGTTAACTTCGCGCATTTATTCGCACATTGTCTATTTGTTCAGATGTTCTATTAGTTATAGGTCTAAGTGATTTCAAATATGTATTTTTTACGACTAGAGTGTATCAAAAATGTTTTTGAGAAAATAAATTGTTTTAGAAGTAAATAGTTTCGTCATGTTTAGTTTATACAGGCATATTTTGGTACAAATCTTGAAGTGGGCCAACTGAAGTAGGAAGGGGCTCGTATTACTACGAACTCTATAATAATAGCTCAAAAAGCGATACTTTTGGAAAGCCTAATCATTTAGTCAAAGAATAATGTATTCTTCTGGTATTCTGATATATGTATTTTTATGTGAATCAAGAATATTTTTCTCAAAAACGGTCCATTCTATCGATGTCAAATGAAACACATTTTTTCAGCTAGATGATCAGGCTTTTCAAAAATATCGTTTTTGAGCCATATGCAGAATATAAGAAAATTGCAACACTCAGGACTAATCTAACCTTAGCGATTTGAATGCTCGTCCTCATTCAACTAGTTAGTATCGATCAGAAGTAATTTAACAAAAACATCTCGATTTAAAAATTCATAAATTTGGCTAACTGGAGCGTTAGTAAGCTTTCCGTTCAACCAATAATGAATTCTACTTGAACATAGGTAATCATATACTGAATTTCGCCGCCCAAATAGGTGGATCTAGGATCTGAAATATTTTTTCAGCGCTTGTCTGATGCCTATTTTAATTGTCTACCTTCAGGTCGAATACAATTTCTGAAGATTAGAGAAGTGCCAAAAAGGGATTGAAGAACCTAGCGCTAACTATGAAACAGTAGCCTAAACCAGACGGCTCTTTTCGAAGTAGATTTCTAAATTCATTTTTGTCTTCTGCTACAGTCTCATAGGTGGCACTAGTATTTTCCAAATCTTTTTGAACGCCGAAATACAGTATATATGGTCGGTCCAACCGTCCCTCCTTAAGTCATTCAAAGACTTAACTTTGTATAATTCTCCACAGCCATTGGCAGCCTGTTTCCCTTCCTGCCAATCCACATGGACTCCATTGGCCTGTCGAAAGACGAATCCATCCTGATCTCAGCAGTAGCACCAATAGTGGCCCTCTTGGGGCCCCTTGTAGCTGCGCCACTGGCTGACCGACTGGCCGGCGGTGTTGGGGGGGCCAAGAGGAGCAAAAACGGACGATACCTGAGGGTTATGATCGCAGTTTGCATGGTGCTTGGCACTATCATGTATTGGCTGTTATTGGCCATTCCACCCATTGTAAGTATATGTTTTTTTTCGAATTCAGTATTACTTTCAGAATTAAGCAAGGTGAGTATTCTGATCTTCTGGATATCAATGCTTTAGTGCACCAGAGTAGTGTTCTGGTCTTAGATAGCCCCACTATGAGCGATGTAACAGCTACAGCATTGATTGCAACTGAGAACGATCTGTTAGGCGCTGTTAGTAAAGTACAGACTCCTACCAGTAAATAATTTAGTAAAACGGTCGAAAATTCAACTGAATGAATTGAAATCAATCCAGGTTTGCATAACGAGTCCTCAGTAGCGGATGCAGGACCTCTGGGGCCGAAGCACACAAAGTTCGTGTCGGACCGCTGTATACATGAATATGGAGTGAAGGGGGTGCGTTAGAACATATTGTTTGGAAGTACAAGTTTTTTCTACTCTGGGGCCCCTTCGAGTTACAGGGACAGACACATAGTGCTGTGCAAGTCCTCCTTAAATAAGTGTTAAGGCTGGAATAGTCACTCATACTAGTCTTACGTATTGCTTGCAAGCAAGTTGCCATTCAAGATGAAGAAGATGTTTGTGATACGACGTCTTGTCATGGGCGCCCGTAGGGAGGTGAGAGGGCGGGCTTGGCCTACCTGAGAATACGGTTGGACCTCTTCCCCTCTGCGAAAAGTTGCTACCCCAAACTTTCAAATATTTAATTTCAGAGCAGGTAGTCTTCCACAAAAAGTTATCTCTTACCAATGATCGGTCCCCTGAGAAAAATTCCTGCGAGGATATAGACTCACAGTATCCTCCTCCAGCAAATTGGTACATGCGCAAAGATCAACCTTCCATTGACTTTACTTATGCCAAGCATTAACATAACGTGACAACGAAAACGGACGATTGAGTACCACACACACACTACGTTTTGCATGACAATTCGATTAGCATGAGTGTCTATGCCCGCTTTTACAGATGTTTCCATTGACAACAGGCATCTGCAATGCCAGCAATTATGGCAAAAAAGATCTATCTTTATCTCATTACAGTAGCTTTGTTTAGATTCACCTGATTAGCGATTTCTCTAAAAGAAAATACGGCTTCACGTAACCCGACTATCCGACCCCTCAAACTCGGAAAGTTGAGTGAAATTAGCGCGTCTGCGAACCCTAGACATGATAATGCAATGAAACAACAATGAAACAAATGGAAACAACACAGAAAAATCACTGAATATCAACTAAACATGTTCGGATCCTGATAGGACAAAAACAATTTTTACAAAAAAAGTACGCCTTGCAAACATTATATCAGCGTATACTTCCATGAGCAGCAAATGAATATGTTTACATGTTTATCAAAATTCAATAAATAATACTGGATGTTACATGTCACTTAGTATACAAAGAGATTTGAAATTATTATTTATTTTATACCTATTTACGTATTGCAACTTGATACTGAGTCCACCTACTTGACGCTTTTTGGAGTTTGTTAATTCTAACAATAAGTTTCTGATGGTGCCAATATAATTATATGTAAGTTACGGCAGTATTAAATTAGGGGTGCGAAGTGATGCTGTCTAAATATATACGTACATGTTAAATATGAGCGCCCGTAGGGGGAGGCCAGGGGATTCATACTCCCCCTAAGAATTCGGTTGCCTTGTAATATTCACATATAGTCAAAATCACGAAAGATGACTATTACGTCATACCATAAATTGTACTGAAGTAATCAATGGACGTACGTCGATGATAAAATCACGATGTCAGGAACCTAATGACAACAAATTTATATTATGATTTTACGAAGTTAGGATATTTGACTGATTATTTTTATTTTCATTTTGTTTCATGGTTTTGAGTGATACCTTAATAAAAATTTTAGTGGGGAGTTTTTGTTAAAAAAAACAGTTATGTATAGAATACCTTAAGACCAAAGACCAAAGTATTATTCGAAAACAACCTAACCTGCTTGAACATAACCTAACTATTCATCTTTCAAATAAATATGATCGATCATGCAATATGAAAACATCGTCTATCTTTGTCGGATACAAGCAATTTAGCAATACAGTTTGTTTAGACAATAAAATTCTGTTTGTCTCTGTCTAACATATCTGAAACTCCATTAAAAATCGCTGTCGTTAGTCTATGCTACAGACTAAAATGATGACGTAATCGTCATCTTTCGTGATTTCGACTATATTTAGCATCGTTTTGTGTTAGCCCCCTTCTTCCCCTGGGAAAAAGGCCTGCGGACGCCAATGTCCTGACCTGATTTCGTCCACTATAATAATCGCATGGGTAGTCAGAATGTTGGAAAGAACTTTATTAAAAATGGATCTGGCAATCCCGCTTTTCTGTCACCGAAGTAGTGATGCAAAGTTTCGTTACTTTTTAGGACTTGTAAGGACTCGTTACTTTCGAACTTTGGACTCGTTAGTTTAGTTACTATTTGGACATTTCGTTTAGAACCTACATTCTATATATTATATCAAATTATTACTTTGGGATTGATCTAATTATTATTTTTTGTCTAATGCCTTGCCTATTAATTTTTTTTATATTTGATACGTACAAGGTACTTATATTTTAAACTCGTCGTTGTGTGACGTCTGGTTCGTTGGCTGTACGCTGTAAATAGTATTTAACAAGTGGCATAACCAGATGGGGACCGTGGAGGAACCACTCTCCTCACTCTTTACTTTAGTTGAGTAGCGTCTCCTGCCCTAACAGTCTGGTTACTCCCCTGCCCTACTTAACAGTCTGGTTACTCCACTGTAAATGGTGTTCAACAAAATACTTATAATAATAAAACATACCTGAAACTAAGTTCTTTTTGCACCTAGGCATATTTTCGTCTTCCACCCGCCGTTTTGCCCTTTCTCCTTCCAATGAAAGAGTCGGATGTTTAGTTTTCAAATGCTTCCTTAAATTGCTAATGTTTCCATTTTTATGCGAATAAATATTTTTACAAAGATTAGACTTTGCATTAGCTTCCGATATATTGGTGAAATGCATCCAAATAACACTTCTTTTTTGAGTTTGCGATTCTCCTGAACCGGACGCGGATGATTCCATATTTTTGTACAAATAATAATTATATTATTGCTCGAGCTTGTACGGCAACGTCCAAACCAGTAACAACCCGCCAACCGCTAGCTCTCAAAGTCAAATGAAAAGTGTACAGGTGTACACAAACATTGCCAACCTAAAGCTCCGCAGTCCGCAACTCGTATGATAGAAGAGTATCTAAAGTTGCCTAAGCCTAACGATATTCGCATCATTTCATTTCCACCCAGTTTACATCCAAGAACCAAGTCACTTGCTGCTGGCGCTGGCAGTACTGGCTACATTAGATCCCAGTAACGTTTGTATCTAAAGTAATGTATAGTATAGTAACTAACAGTAATTAAAAAGTATACATAGAAAAAGACCGTATCGCATTCAAAGTAACTAATTCAAATAAAAAGTAACGAGTCTTTTCAAAAAGTAGGACTCGTTACATTTAGTTACTCATTTGTAACGATTATTTTGTAAGCGTTACTTAATTATTTTACATCACTACACCGAAGTACCTCTACCACCGACTATATATCGTCGGTGACCTCTACCTTAGTGACTGCAAATTTGTCGTAAGGGGGAAATCCTAAGAGCAGGATCAGGATACTCGTGTGCTTTCTGTCAAAACTAAATTATTGTAGATTTGAGCTCTCGGGCAAATATTTCATAGGCTCATTGTATCTACAGAAGTTATAACACCAACTCCCCAATCCCTTCTTCCCCAATAAGCTCAGAAACAATCTTTATCTCTGTACTATTCCATTTTTAAATAGATTATATTTTTCTCTTTCATTTTCAACAGGATATGCCTTTCTATTAATAATTTGAGTTCAGATGATCCATTTTAATAATAGTAAACCTACCATCACTTTGGGCGCCAACGTCATGTTCATAAACTTCCTCTAGTTTTTTAGGATTAACACCAGCGATTTCACACCAAACGGTTATCACATACAGAAACATCACTCACTAACGCCTAAAGCACATATCACCATCACATCTTTCCGATAACGATTAAATTTTCCCTGTAAAATCACTAAAAAACACACTCCCGAAACGGAATCTATGAATTCGCGACGAAACTGTCGAAAACCGTTGAAAACAATTGAATATCTCAAACATCCAATTTCCTGGATTCGAAGTTGGCTGGCCGGTTGATGCAGTGGTTCCGGGAACTTGTACTTGTAGCCAGTGGCGTATCCAGGATATTTTTATATGGGACTTGATGGATGACGTGATGTTTCAATTTTTTAGACAAAAAAAATTATCGTTGCAGACAAGCTTCTTTAGGTTTTTTTTGAGTTATTCTGAACAAAACAGTTCTTATGAACCTTTCTCCAAAGTTGACAGTTATCGAGTTAAAAGCCTTTTTAAATTAGAAAAAAGAGACAGGCAGCACAAGGCGACAGCCAACTGCGGAAAATATATTGAGCGCTCCCTTGATTGACTAGAAACAAAGCATCACTTGTATCAACAAAAATAATCTCTTGCAAATATGCTCTTTTTCACGGAATAAGTCTTCTCCCCTTAGTGGATGTTTGAAGAATACTTCGAGATTGGCAACATTACTGGTTTTTCATACTATTTTTTGGGGTCTAAAATGGCTTATTTTGCACTTTTTACAATATTAAATCGCTTATATCTCAAAAAATGTCAACTTTATAGAGCAGTTTATGACAATCTTGTTCGTTGAGTGACCCAAAAAAAAACTTTGTCCGTCGTGAAAAAAGTAATTTTTGGAATTTGTTTAAAAAACTTGTTCAAGCTAAGTTTTCAGGCTCAAAAAAGATCAGTACAGTCACGAAAAACAGGTTTTCTCCAAATTTGTTTTCTTCAGTCTTCAGGATTATGAAAATTGGGCAAAATAAAAAATATGTGTATTTTTTTTTTTAAATTTAAAACAACGCCTCATATTTCCAGAAATGTTTGTGATCAATTTACAGAATTTTTCTTATCGATGATTATTCATTTTCCAGATAAGGAGCCCTCCGAACGTAGCCTTTATTTGTGACGAGAATGGAGGCTTTATCCTCCAGGATAGATGCGGAGCAGAAAAGACATGTTACAACTGGGGATCAAGTGTAAGTATAATAGACTCTAGACAAGTCTTTTTCTCGTAATTCAACTACTAATATTTAGATTATTCCAAAATGGTTCTAAACTTCTTCTACTTGAAACATTTAAAGGATTCAAATCAATTGAGTTTTTGGTGAAATATCTGAAATCAAATGGTAACATTTTCTTTTACAGAAAGGGTCAGTGTTAGTGTCAGACTGTATATTCACGTGCAATGCTTCATCATCTTATGCAGGGGCTGTGACACCAATCTATACTGACGAAGAACCACTGTACAATGTTGATTCTGTAGATTATCTGGATGAAAATGCACCGCTGGAACCTGAGTTCCCGGTAAGAATAGTTTGATATATCTTTGAGGAGCTGAATTTCTGAAAGGAGGCAAGCAGAGATATGTAGACTTAATCGTAAATAACAGTTATTGCTAATGTGACAAGCAAAATAAAATTTACCCTCTTTGAGATATTTTATTTGTAATCTGAACAAACATACAATGGGACATGGTTATTTTATATTCAGGTAATAAGAATGGAAATTAAAAGTAGGATTCAGTAATCTGTCCAGGGGGTGCAGCGGCGTTGGGGGGATGGTGTTAAAAATGTTGAAAAATTAAGAGCGAGGGAAAGGCAAAACAAATGCCCTTGTAACAAATGAGAAGCGGGAGTCTAGTGGGGGCCTGTATAATTACCAATGATATTTATAGTATTATGGAAAACCACATTCTAACTCAGTTTTTCAATTGAAGAGGAACGTTTCTTTTTGCTTCTAGGCTCCTACAAGTGAAGCAGCTAAGTTCATTCCTCATCCACATATGTGTTTCAAAAATTCGAGTGGTGGCATTGTATGCGAAGTTTACACTGAATTTTCAAAACCGATAGACTTCAGGATAGGCTTATATCCCAATATAAATGACGAAAATGATACTGAGTCTACTTGCAAATATCCTTTTGGTAAGTATATACAAAACACAATAAAAAGTGTAATGCCCTACAAATTTAGAAAATGAGCTTGCGATTTTTGGATGTTATATGACATGTACAGAGTGTCCACCACGGTGGCCGAAACGTTAGTAAAAAAGTAATGTATACATATGTGGTTTCATTTGACCAGACAATCATGCAGTCCTATAGAGCAGAATGTAAAAAAAACTTGGTTTGCTCTTGAGTTGCAAGTTCTATTTTGTTCTTTTTTCTCATCGACCTTTAAAGCTACGAGCCCCTTCCCACTTCAGTTGGCCCAACTATTGAAATCTTAGTTTTTTTCTTATCAGTCACAAATAATAAAAATGTAGCAGGGTGTTATAGGTTTAAAATATTAACAATGAATATTTTGATAATATATAGTAGAAAACACCAACTATATCACTCCCTAATCAAATTTGCAGCATAAAAATAACACATGTTGCAATTACCGCATATCAACCTATTTTCATTTCAATGCAAAATAAGTCTATAACGCATAGGTGGCTGTGAAAAATAAAAGACATGTCAATTGTTTTTATTAGTAGTAGTAGTTAATTTTTTCAAAATGGGTAGAGGAAAGGTTATTAGTGAGAAAATTCGGTTACTGATAATTAATTTTTTTAATTCTGGGAAATCAAACTCAGAAATTGCAACTTTGTTAGACTTATCACGGTACAGTGTGAGAAATATTGTTAGAAGATGTAACTGGTTCAGTTAATATTAAGCCACGATATGTGAAAAAAAGTAATATCACAAATGCCGACCGAAGAGCATTAAGAAGAATAATCGTGAAAAACAGGCGTGGCAATTATTTACAATTAAGTGCTCTGTGGAGTGACGCTGTTGGAAGGAGAATTTCGAGGTCCACAACTCATAGAGAGGCCCACAAACTCGGATTTAGCACTTGCAAGGTAAGTTTTCTTATAAAAAAAGTGAAGTAAAAACCCTAAAGTTGCACAACTTGTTTATAGGCCAAAGAAAAGCAACTATTAACTCCATTGCAAAAGAAAAATCGGCTTAGATAGGCTAAAGAACATAGACAATGGACACCTCAACAATGGTGTGCAATACAATGGAGTGATGAGGCCCGATTCGAAGTTTGTGTTGGTGACAGTCACAGTAGAGTTATTCGCAAAAAAATGAAGCATTCCATGTTGACTGTCTCAAGAGAAAGGTGAAATTTCCAGCATCCATTATGGTCTGAGGCAGTATGTCATCGAAAGGAGTAGGAAAACTTCATTTTGTTGATAGAAATGTGGATACAAACAAATATTTGGCAATTTTAGAAGAATCGCTTTTACCAGTGATGGAAGAATGTTTGACATCCGGCCAAGATTTTGTGTTTCAGCAAGATGGTGCAGCGTGCCATACCTCAAAAAAGGCTATAAAATGGATGGAAGAAAATAATCTACCACTTTTGAAATGGGTTTCTAGCAGTCCAGATCTGTCACCTATTGAAACTTGGTGGCACGAGATGAAAAAGGTTCTACGACAACATCCTGCTCGTACAATCACCGAACTGAGACAAAAGCTTCAATAAATATGGGATTGTTTTATACCAAATTTTTGCCAAAACTTGGTTAATACTATGCCCCAAAGAATTTCAGCCGTAATAAAAAATAAAGGTGATGTTACCCAATGGTAATCTTTCAATTGTGCTTTGTTAACTTCGCGCATTTATTCGCACATTGTTTATTTGTTCAGATGTTCTATTAGTTATAGGTCTAAGTGGTTTCAAATATGTATTTTTTACGAGTAGAGTGTATCCAAAATGTTTATGAGAAAATAAATTGTTTTAGAAGTAAATAGTTTCGTCATGTTTAGTTTATAAAGGCATATTTTGGTACAAATCTTGAAGTGGGCCAACTGAATTGGGAAGGGGCTCGTATATCTATAAATAAATATCAATTTATTTTAGCCAACGAGTTTACCTGCCGTTTACCCCCAGACGTCCGTAAGAATCTGACAAACGACGGCCAAGACGACTGTCATCCCCTGGTGCTGTGCAAAATCGAAAATCCATACGAGAACAGAGATAGCCTCCTCAAAAGGTCTCAATGCGGGTATGATAATATCAGCTATTGGCTATATTTGTTCATCAGGTGTATCGCCGATATTTTCCCAGCAGCTGCTTGTACGCTACTTGCCACAGCTGTAGTGATAGCCACCAGAGAGACATCGACAGGTAAGTGCAGATACTATTAACTTGTTAGAATCCAAATAACGCATTTAATTTTTTGATTTCAAAAATACTTGTATTGAAATGGTTGTTCTCAGTCAGAATATTTGCCAAAATTAAAACAAGCCGTTTTGAAAGTTGAGGTTCTCCTTGAAAAAAATAATTATATTTATCGACGAGTTTGTTACAGCTCCGTCGGCCGTCAATCGCATCATCTTGCCTCTTTATCTCTCCAGACGTCATCATCTAAACATCTACCCCGTATATATCGTCTGAAGTGTTTTTCCATTCCTGTGGAGGCCTACATCGTTTCCTTCTGAACGAAGGATGCTAAGTTAATATATTTTTTTGGCCCTCAACTATCTGACGTCCTGTTGACATGACGGTACCACCTTAACCTGCGCCTCTCAAATTTTCTTTTGTCATTGGTATTTCATTTCTGATTTTCTGTAGCCTCTACTCTTTGTCCGTTCCGTTTTGTCATTTCCCATACTTCTGTATGTACAATTGTCTGCTAACTACTTAGTTTAATGTCTTTATTTGACCTCAAAAGTCTGAAATAACAATGCAGGAGTGTGGCGAAACAGCAGCGTGAAAGTAAAAAAAAGAAAAGGACTCCCTGTCCATTTGATGAAAAATTTCATGTACCACCCTGTTACATAATATGGCTCATAAATGACTGTCGTTGGATTCAAAAACCCTGGTTTGTTAGCTTTTTCTAAGTATTTTACTGTACCCAACTCGATGTTCCTACAAATTTTCTTTGTTCTTTGTACATGGTAAACAGACTTACGCGGTGCGGGGTGGAAACGTCCAAGAGAACTATCATCAATTTGACAAGACAAGCTGTCAATATTGCTATAAGAATGTCCCATTCTCGGCTTTTTCGAATATGATTTGAAAACAAACAGCTCGGTTTTTTATCTAATTATTTGCTGGAGTCAGAGTCGGATTTTATATTGCATATTTTTTTCGGAATCCATTAGCTCTATTATCATAAGATTTGTTCCTACGGAAATTTCTTATTTTTACAAGAACTAAATTGTGAAAAGGAATACTCAAACATTAAGAACACCAGTATTAGCACATTGCGAAACCAAATCATATTCTTACATCAGGGGGAATAACACTCTGAGGTCCGTCCAACACAAATTAGGGTTCCGATTCAAAATACCTACAATACAAATCGCGGCTAATATAAAAAATAAATAGAATCGGTAATATAATCAATCGATATATGTGTTGTTTGGAAAGGAATGATTGCATATATTCATATATTTTTATTCCTCAGGTAGGGGAGATGTCGGTAAACAATTTGCTGCTGGAGCCCTGGGGCTGGCTATTTTTGCTCCTATTATTGGCGGTGCTGCTAATGGTAGAATGTTGGAAGCAATGATCTGCTTTACCGTCCTGATGGCTGTAGCAGTTGTAATACTGTTAGTCGATGGGTAAGAAGAAAAATTACACCTAACAACTTTATATCATAAAACTTTATTAATGGGTGATTTTTTTGCTAGTATCTTTTTGGCAATACTGTTTTTGACAGATGACGCGTGAATCGTGTCTTCTGTCATTGTCAAACTTGTTTAGTTTGGTCTATAATTTAACCATGAATCGACTTACGAACGAACAACGCTTGCAAATTATTGAATTTTACTATCAAAATTCATGCTCGGTTAAGAGAGAGTGCATCGAGCACTGCTTCCAATTTATGGGCAATTTGGTCGGCCTACTGAGGGAGCTATTCGGAAGCTTGTGACTAAATTTCGAACCCAGTTTACATTATTGGACATTAAACCACCAACACGCAGACGTAGAGTGAGGACTGAAGAAAATATTGCGGCTGTATCCGCCAGTGTTAGTGATGACCGTGAAATGTCGATTCGCCGCCGTTCGCAGCAATTGGGCATCTGTTACTCCACTACGTGGAAAATTTTGCGACAGGATTTGGGTGTAAAACCTTATAAGATACAGCTGGTGCAAGAATTGAAGGCACACGACCTCCCACAACGTTTCCAATTTGGTGAATGGGAGCTGGCAAAGTTGGAGGAAGATCCACATTTTTATCGAAAAAATGTGTTCAGCGACGAAGCTCATTTCTGGTTGAATGGAAACGTTAACAAGCAAAATTGCCGCATCTGGAGTGAAGACCAGCCAGAAGCATTGCAAGAGCTACCAATGCATCCCGAAAAAATCACTGTTTGGTGTGGATTATGGGCCGGTGGCATCATCGGGCCGGAACGTAACTGTGAATGGCGAGCACTACCGCGCGGTGATAACAAACTTTTTTTTGTCCAAAATGGAAGAGCTGGACTTGGCTGAGATGTGGTTTCAACAAGACGGTGCCACATGCCACACCGCACACGAAACAATGGCCCTATTGAGAGGCGAGTTCGGTGAACAGTTTATCTCACGTTTGGGGCCCGTCAATTGGCCGCCTAGATCGTGTGATTTAACGCCGTTGGACTATTTCTTGTGGGGCCATGTTAAGGCTAATGTCTACAGCAACGATTGACGCACTGGAAGCCAATATTGAAGCATTTATTCGTGAGATACCGGCCGATATGTTGGAGAGAGTGTGCCAAAATTGGACCTTGCGCATGGGCCATCTAAAGCGGAGCCGCGGCCAACATTTACATGAAATAATCTTTAAACATTAAGTTATATCGACCGTTCTATGGACTCAAATAAAGATTTAATCGTTTTTTCAAATTTTTTGTGTTTTTTTTGAAAATCAAATCCTATATCTCTTAAAAAATCACCCGTTACAATCAAGCGATATATTAAGGATTTTGCCCCCTACATTGTATCATAGTAAGATGATAACTGTCAAGAAAACGTTCAGTTTCAGTATAATTATTGTTGAAATTAATGTCAAAATGGCTATTTTTTATATCGTTTGTATGCTGCAATTTATTAGGAGCGATAATCGCTTATCATTTACTAAACGACACAGAAAATGCAACACCGACTAGGAGTACATACTGTAATCTTGAGCATACTTTTACAAGTTTTAGGTTTACTGATGAATAGAAAGTGATTGAAATTTCAACTAGACATTACGCAAAATAGCTGAGATATCCCACCTTAAAGTGTTGAAGTTCCTGTGTTCGCTTTACATTCGTTAAGTCGTCGCGGCATTGATTGGATTAGGTGATTGATGTCGTCTTGGTGTATTGTATGCCAGACCATCTGAATTTGGTTTCGTAGAGCCTCCAATATTTATGTCCCATACATGTTCGATGGGGGAGAGGTCTGGAGATCGAGGAGTCCACTGAAGAAGATTTACGCTTCTAAAAAGTCTAAACTAACTCGTGCGACATGAGGTTGCCTGCTGAAAAAGTGGATCTTGCAATGTTTCCAAAAAGGGAAGCAGATGTTGCCAGCATGCACACTAATCGTGACCTGCTGCCGTAAGCAGTGGAACCCCATACCATATCACCCACAGTGCGATGAATATGCCGTTCGATGGAATATTGGACTGAAGCCTGAACACGACTGAGTTCCATTCCATATTCCATTCAAGTCTCTCCCTACTCCATACTATTGCCAAGGATGCTGTGGGGTCAGAGGTAGTACAAGATATACGGATAGTCAATAGGTCCATTAGACCATATTCGACGGTAAACTGTTATTGCCCTTTCGACAGCATCAAACCACAGGTACGCAACTGCTCTTGTGGAAAATCGATCTCCAAGTGCTAGATGCCTCAAATAACGATCCTGTCGCTCTGTAGTCTGTCTTTGACGTCCAGTACCTCTAACTCGTCGATTTCGGACTTCTTGGAAATGAAACCAACACAGAAAAATCACTGAATATTAAGTAAATATGTTCATATGTTCGGATCCTGATATGACAAAAGAAGCTTTTACAAAAAAATACGGCTCGGAATGCCTTCAACATTTTACCAGCGTATACTTCCATGATAGTAAATATATTTATAAGTTTTTATCAAAATTCCATAAATAATTCTGGGTATGGCATTTTATATGTGACTCAGTATACTTTCGATGATGGTCAAGAAAGACCCTAAACTTCCGAGATACTTACTCAATTCAAAAACTGGCCGAATTTTTAATAATCCCCTTATTGACTTACCCACTCCCTCTGATATTACAACTATGTATATGAAATGTTAGATCTTTACTAGGCCCATGTTTAGGTATTCAAATTATTACAGTACTATTCTTAGCCATGCATAATTGTCCATATAGCATTGAATAGTGTAGCCCATATTTGTCGAAATGTAAACTAGGGATGACTAATCCGAACTTCACATGCAAATGGAGATTCTTTTTTCCTTATTTGTCTTTGTATCCACATTGGACGAAGCCTTAATTATAGATCCTATTATTTACTAGAAACTTGAATAATTGGAGTAATTTTTTTTTATTATTTGAGCATGACTAATGTAGTCGGGGCGGTAGCATCCCAAACGTGTGAGCAATACTAGAGGGTAGATCTTATCTAGGCCTTGTATAGAGTGAGGAGGTCTTGTGGAGCAAAGTCAACACAACAAATCATTATAGAGTAATAGCTTGTTGTCCAATGACCTACCAATAATCCAATACAACTATTTGATTTTGATGCTAATTTGTTTCCTTTTTGAGAAACGGTGCCTAAAGTCTAACTTGATTCCGAGATTCTCCGCATGATTTGATTGTGGAATTTGTAAATTATTGATAGTTACTGGTGGAAAGGTTTTTCTACATAAGATGAATGTCACAGATGTGGACTTGTTGAATTAGCCTTTTTGCGTCATTTTTTTATCAAGTCCTCATTTTGGAGCAAGTTTCTCTGGAGATGTTGCGTCGCTATCTCGGGATTCTCATGGGATGCCAACATAACCATATCATCTGCAAATATTGCTATGCATAACATCATTTACAGTTGGTAGTTCCTAAAGGCTTAACGGATGTGTTTTCAGCACCACACTTTTCGTAGAAATATCGATTTGTCAGATACGATTTTTTTTTATATGAAGTACAGTACTTCATGCCAAACTTTGTCAAAAGCTTGAGATACATTGAGAAATGCAGCTGCAATCTTTTGTTGTTAAAATCCGCATTAATTTTATTCACAATTCTGCGCACTTGCTCAATAGAACAATGTTTCTCCCGGGAACCAAATTGATGGTCCGGGATTGTTCCATGAAAATTCTTGGTCATGTCGTACTGTCCAGAGGAGGGCAGTCCGATGACTTCTCTAACAGACAGCCTCGAGACCCTTTCGCTCCGGCGGGCCGTCGGCGACATAGGTCCTTCTACCGCTACACCAACGGCCTTTGCTCCTCAGAGCTCTCTTCCATGATGCACCCGCGCAATGTGCCTGCCAGACAGACCCGCCTGACTTTGGCATTCCATTGGCGAACTTCGTACATTCAGAACTGGCCGATACGATCGGTCCTTTGTCCTTAGGGTGTCGAGATTCTGGAATAATCTACAAGGGGAGGCAGTTCTACTAACCGTAGGTAGTTCAAAAATCGACTTGAAGTTTGTTTGGGATTCTTATAGCAGCCGCGGTGACCTGACATGTAGGCTTCCGCGTGCGCGGCTGTTTCACTGTAAAAAAATAGTTATGGGGCACAGCGAGCAACAACAATATTTGCCATACCTCAGCGGTTCCAGAAAAGTCCAGAGAATGATATGGTACACCATACTACGTTCCCAATGAAATGATTCTGGATGACATGCCTCTCGCTATGATCAAGGAGGTGATCCAAGACCCTAATTAATATATTAGCAAACCGAGTATATTCTTGTGTCTCATAATAATCTAGTAAATAGGTTAAACCGCCATTTGAGTTCTCACTTGGTGATTGGACCACGATGATATCAAGTGATTACATAAATAATCAATTCAGTACTACATATCACTCACTCTAGTGAAGCTCTGTTGTCCTTTTTTAGTTTAGATTAATCCGAAAACAATGCGCAATGCCCATAAGGGCAAACTGCTGCATTCTCAGAGTTATATAAAACATTCAACAATCCTAGTAAGATTATATATACATATATATATACATATATATATATATATATACAGTGAGCAGCAACATTTTACGAGTTAGTTTTTTTAATCCTTTTATATTTCTAGCTCTATGCCGTTGAGCCCTCCAGAATGGTGGTGGCATACAAGATGTGGACTACTAGCACTCCCTATGTCTTCTGTGAGAAAGTATGGTCTAGAAATCGGCGCACTGGGTGTGGCGTTGTTTTTACTTGGAGTTTTTTGGAATGCGATTGATACCTTCTTGCCATGGTAAGTTCACAAATACTTTAACATGAATTTTATATAATTTAATGTTGAAAGGTCCGTCCTTCTTCTATAACAGAATGACGTAATAGTCACCTATCACATCATAAGAGTGCGGTACTTTTTACACAATACGGACGATGCGCTGTTGCTATGGACACCAGGTTTCGATAATGAATATGATGACGCTGTGTCTCAATATTGTAAGCCCTGTTTATTTGGACAGAATTCGCGTGGCTGGATCCCAGACACAGTCGCCAACAAGTCACCAACAACTGTACGAACAAATGGCCGCCGTATTAAGCTTGTCATCCAAGATCACTCATTGAAAAATTTGTCTTGTCATAAAATTTTATTTAAAACTTTATGCTGTTGCTACTCGCAAAACCGTATAAAACTAAGGAACTGTAATCTCAAAAAATGAACTAACATAAAATGGAATTATTTCAGGCACATTGTCGACATCGACAAAGTGAAAGCAGAGCACATGGCAAGTGGTAACGCATCAAACGTCCACCTAGTGATTGGATTGTCAATCACAGCAGGTGCACTGCCAGCTGTACTGTTCTTGATAGCCGCTGAAAAGATTGTTGATTATTGTGGACACTCGAATCTGCTGATTTTCTGCTTCATCAATTACATTTACCACCATTTAGGTAGGTATTTACTAATGCCTTGTAGGAAATGTTGCGCCGACATTAAAAATCGAATATAGACGATGTATCACATATACAAAGTAACTGAAAAATTCAATAGCAGAAAGCACATCGAAGATTAACACGAATGCTTGCAATAAACATGGGTTCTGCAGTGTCTTCATGCCAAAATACAGGAGGTTTTCACTAATGCTGCAGTGGGATGGAACCCCTTTCCTAATACACCCCCATAAAATTGAAATGTCAAACTCCAGCTCATTTTCAGGGAGGAAGAGAGCTAAGTTTTTATGACTGTCACAAGCCGTGTCAATTTTGGATGATTTTCTGCTTGAGAAATATGTAGTTTTATAATTTTTTTAATTAGCTCCTAAGCATGATACTTTTTCAGTCTACAAAGATTCATTGGTGCATGTAAAATTTTCTGCAAAATATTAACACTAATTTTCAGTGTGATATAAAATTTCTGAAAGATGCTCTGCCTATACAAGACCTAAAAAGTAATAAAAATGGATATCACATCTATATTTAATATTTTCCAACTTCTCTTCTCTAGGCTTCTCCTGTCAAAGCTTCACTTTCAATAAACGCAGAATATAATTTTACATGTATTTTTCTGTACGTCAACAGGTATCTCATTTGAGAGATCTTTTTCAGCCCTGATGTTCATAGAAAAAGGCAGCTACTTGTTGTTCTGCGAATGGATGGAGATTTTCACCTTGCACATTATGTATATTACTGCTGTCCTGTACCTGCGACATCTGGTGCCTAGAAAATTCACTGCCCTGGGTCAGGCACTGCCAATTGTTGCTCATTTCTGTCTAGGTAAGAAATTTTACAACGTGCTGTGAAAGCAGAGACTTCCATTTTTAGGAACTCCGACATGTGTGGTGAAAAAAAAATCAAAGAAACTCCCTACAAGCGGATGCCTTAGGCACTGAGACTAACAAATTCCAAGTTGACCGATTCTATGAAATTTGTGATTTTAAATATTGTAGAACATATTTTTTAAACTTTCATTAACACTTTTCTTTTTATTTTAATACTTGATTTTTAAAAGCCCAAAGTTCGGAATTTTAGCATTTCTGTTCAAACTTCACACGTATTAGAGTATTTAACTTGACTATTTTATTTTAAACACAAAAGCTGAAGTCTCATTGTAATTATATATAGATTTCTTTCAACTTTTGTTCTTAATTCGCAATGGAACAGTAGGTACTCGTTTTTATCTATGCTTTATATTTTAGTGTTTTATTATGGATTTGAAATAGAATAGAACAGATAAATTAAACGCATTAAGTCTGTCAAACTGGCCCATAGTCCATAGACATTCTTTCCCTGCCCTACTGGTAGTTACCGACCACGTGGCAACAATGTCCTTTTACACATCTGCGCGGCATTTGCAGCGCGTTATCTTTCGGTTCGTCAAGCTCCGTATGTTTTTTATATAAGCCGGACTTGTACGCTAGGCGGATCGAAAACATGCCTCTATCAGTCTGTTTTAAAGGCAAATATACGGGAAAATCTATGATTTATAAATTACCGGGATTGAGAGCGTATAAATATACGAAGATCTAAAAAATTCATATACCCTCCACCACCCCCAACAACCTTCAACCCTCAAATTTCAGTCTCTACTAAATTCTTTCTAGAAATGATCAGGTCCCTCTAAACGTCAAAAACGAGGTTTTAGCGGATTTTTTTTCGTTTTTGGTCTTTTTCTCCACCACCAGGATACCCATTTTCAAAAACTACAAATCTTTTCCATCTTTGGCATAGTAGTAAGCTCGTGTGACAATGCCATCAAAATCCGAACAGTACCTCTCAAGTTATAGGCGGTAATAAAATTATCGGACAGACAGGCCGGCAGAAACGAATGACAGTTTTTCGTGATGTCAAATAACATCCAAAAACCATGTAAATTTTTCGCGATTACAATACTTCCTCGCCAGTTAAGGCATAAGAAGTAAAAACAATCGGGTACTATAATTAAAAAAAAATTGCTGAAAGTTTAAAATTCATAAAATATTTAAATGTAAAAATTGCACAAATGCCATCAGCTTGAAATTTGAGTTATTTTCACTGCCAGAAATCTCGCTAATAGACCCAGATCATTCGAAAAAAAGTCGGTATCGCAATTCCAAAAATCAAGTTTGTACTCATCATTTGCAACATTGGGGGTAGTTTCACATCGTCATATTAGTGTGTAACTTAAGGTGCGTTTAGATATGAGCGCGCACGCTCACCCTGTATCTTCATATGCGCAAGCAATAGCGAATACGATCTGCCTGTTGTCGGTCTCAAGACGTTGCTCAAAGGAATTAATGGGTTCGCGAATGCTCAGTGTGGACGGAAACGACAACGCGGCGCACAGGATTAAAGAGTTGATTGTATTTATTTACTCCAGTAAATGATGAAATGGAATAATACTAAAGTTCTAAAACTCTTGCAAGAGTTTGAGAAATTATCGGTACTGTGGGACGTTGGGCACGAAGAGTATTATTCAAAATCGAAAAAAAAAATTGAAAATGTATACTGTTGCGAAACACAAAAGAAATTAAAACTGATGGGATTATTTCGTCTCGAAAAAAAGTAAAATGAAGATTTTGACACTCTGAAAAGATACTGCAAGCAGCTGTAGGAGTCTCCAGTTGCAAAAAACGCAAGGTTATAGCTAAACGTGTTCTTGGTGATATAGATTTTCGAAACTGTGTATCAATTTTCATTATCGTTGGTGTTACGTGAGCATGTATTCAAAGTCAGCCTTGATGATTCTTGTAAAATTTCTGAATTGATTATACAGACTGTCTAACACTAATTCCTTTCGTTTCCGATTATCTTTTCTTTTAATTAAATTATACGGTATAATAAATGTTGCCGCAGCTATATGTCTATTTTCCATGTTAACCTCGTACGCGAACGACTGGATTAGCCCATGCGTTGAAAAATGAATTTCAGTTTAAACACTCTCCACGCACGCGAACAAATGCGTGCGTGTTCATATCTAAACGCACCTTTACAAGTGTTTTTTTTCGAATCCACTTTGTAAACAAACAGTCTGTCAACCTACAAGACACGGCGTTAACCGACGCGCTTTGTAGGCATCTTTTCACCTAATTATACGATGGAGATATGGCAGACCTCTAGATTTTTCCAATTTTTTGACAATATATATATATATATGCGCGATGTATAGTCCCAATTTTACGAACATCTGTATTTTTACACTAAAATTAAAGCCAAATTTGAGAAAAGTTCTTCCATAAATTTAAGAGTCTCGAGGGTTGAATACATAGTCGTTAATTGATTTTAGGCCTCCTTATTTTGCTTCATTTACTTGGTGAAGAAGGCCTTTTTATTGCCTTGTACATATGTACATTCATGCAAGGCTTTTTTGCATCTCTACTTTAACGTTGGTTGACCAACTCAATGTTTACAGGTCGTAGCCTGGGAGCCGTTCTGGGTGGAATGGCGTTCACAGAGTACCCTAAAAATTTCCAAGATGTGCATAGAGCCTTTACAATCGCCGCAATGATAGTCGCTATCGTTTATTTCATCGCATACCATTTCTACATGAAGCCAAGGTGTGCCGCACCTTTACACCTGCCTCCTGATCCGGCCCCTTCTGTAGTACAAAGTAAGTTTCAAGTAAACAATATACAAGGTGACCCAACGAAAACGTGGCACCCCTATTTGTGACTCTCGTGGTACGTTTTGGTAAAAACGCTCAGTCAAGTCAATTTTGATTTCTATGGGGACGTCTTTTCATCTATAGCCGTACAATACAGGTTGATCCAAAATAAGATATTGCGTTATACGATACAATCCCTTATTATTACGACTTCTAGAATTTTAGTATAAACTCAAATAACTTCACAACGATTGAAGATTGGTATAAACTTTATTATACAAAAGTTACTAAAAAAATCTATAGTGCAGCGCAGTATCTATTTTTAGATCACTCTGCTATAGATGAAAATACGTCCCCCTAGAAATCAAAATTGACGTATCCGAGCGATTTTCCCAAAATGTACCAGGATACTCACAAATGGGGGTGCAATCTTTTGGATGGAGAGTACCGTATCGGGAAAATTTACTGTTGGAGCTTTATAATCTATTCTGTAGCTTGAACTAAAAAAGTGTCTCTCTTTTGCTGCATTTTGCTCACTTATTAGTTTTTCATGAAGAGCTCGACCACATGGTACTTCTTGTCTCATTTTAAACAAAAGCTTATCCATAGTTGATTGTTTTTGGTTATATATTATTCTACCTTTTAGCGTCCTGAAAATGACCATTTCAAAATTTTTTGAAATTTTGTTTTGTGAACTTTAAAGTTTGGACCCATTCCTAGTAATTTTTGAAAAGTGAGCTAATTTTTTATTCTTTATTGTTAAGGACTATTTGTGCTTTCTGTGGCACTACAGACTAACATGAAAATACCTTCTTATTATTTTATGACCAAAAATGACTCGACAAAAGTATGGAAACATATTTTTTATTACAAAATTAAATATACAATCACTCTACAAAAAGATTTAAAAAATACTGTTTAGCTACCATTTGGTAGCATAGCCTTGAGCATTCACACTGCCTGACATCTGCTGCTCATAGAAGACACCAATTTTTTACAGACGTCTGTTGGGATATTTTGCCAAATATTGTTTGCATAATCAAATAAATCGTTCCTATTGTTAAAAGTTTTCTTGTCAGTTGTCTTTAAACATGCTCCCAGAGATATTCTGTCGGGTTTAGGTCCGGGGATTGGGAAGGCCATGTAAGACATTAACATTTTTTAGTCTTAACCAGTCCTTTACGAATTTTGAGGTATGCTTGGGGTCATTATCTGGAATGTATATTGTAAAGGCATTCCTGTTTAAGCAAAAGGGAGCATTTGTTCGCTAAGTACATCTTTGTAAAGTTTTTGATCCATTTTCAAATCAATTTTAACAATTGGATCCGTTCCAGAACTAGAAAAACAGCCCCATACCATGATGGCGCCACTGTGCTTAACTGTTGGTAACTAGTACCTTTTGTCGAATCTTTTTCGTATTGGACGTGTCACATATGCCTTACCGTCAGGTCCAAACAAATATTGATAAGATAAACCTTGTATTAGTACAAGGCCAAAGGTAGACTTTAGTAGTAGTATATGAAATAGTTCATAATGTTAATGTTTCCAAACTTTTGTCCGCTACTGTACATTACCACACATAAAAAAGGAAAGTATTGTTTTTCAGATGTTTTTTTTTATATTCCAGGTGCAGGTGAAAATGGATCATACGCACCACTAAAGGTGTACCACAACAGCAAATCCAAGAAAGGACATTTTAGGTATTAGTTTGGAATCTTTTTTTTTTTTGAAAATAGCTTAAAGCTTTTAAGATACGTTTTCACGTGAAAATAAATGTACCTTCTTGTTAGACTTCATCAAATGGAATTAACGTTCTAACAAATGGCAGCTTTCCGTTATCTTTGTCCAAAACCCGAAAAAAAAACCTTTCTTGTGCTTCATACCTATACTTTTTGAAGCAGCTCTCTAGTGTCATGACTAGTAGGTTCACAATTTTCGATGTGTGCCCCGTTAAGAGTCAAATCAATGTTTAACTGGACGTCACATGAAAACGCCTCTTCGCAATTTCTGAAATGTACCACTTCACAGTGTAATATATATTTTTAAATATTTATATTTTTTACTCAACTTTGTAGATGTGGACTTTTAACATGGATACTATTTTTGACAGATACTGTACGTGTTTATAGCTTTTGAGAAAATGTACGTACCTCCACGCATGCTTTATGATTTTTTGTTACATATATTTTTTATAAAGTTTTGTAATTATTTGTTTTTTTTTATTTAATAAAATAGTTCACCTCGATAAGTTTTTTGATTATCTGACATTGCCAAAGACGTCGGAAGCGAAAGGAGGGCAGCATGAGTATCTCTTTCAAAATTTGAGATTAAGACGAGGGTTTTGTGAGCGATCCTTAATTGAACAGTAAACATAAACGCACAGTATATTAGTACACATCCCACGGTTAACTTTTTTTATAAATGAAAAAGCTGTTCAAAAATTGGTTTTATTATCTTAATTTTATTTACATTAAAGGTACATTGCAAATAAACATCCAATCCTGCAATCAAACTTAAAATCACATTTTTTTAAAAGAACAAAAAGAACAAATAGTTTTCAACAGCTCGTTTATGGCTGGTTGAAAATAGTTATTTCAGATTAAAAATGAAGCAGAATAGCTTTGAAGGAACAAAAAAAATACAGATCTTATGGGTCAACCGGAAAGAAACCTACCAATTTGCCTTCAGTGCAGGAACACTTGAATTTATCATTACTAGAGTGATCTACTGCTCGTTTTAAAGTACGCACTTGTAGCAGTCCATTTCTCAAAATTATTTTGCCATATTATGCATCTTTAACTTGCAAGCAGAAAATAAATGAAAAATCAAATAAAACATCTGGTTAAATGTGTGCAAGTAATTCCATTGCTCAGCATTTTGAAGAAGGCATATCAAAAGCTCTACTGACGTCCATTTGTAATATTGATACTTTATGCTGAAAACATTTTTGTTACTATTTTAATGGGAGTTTAGAAAAAATAATTATACAAAAACAAAACGTGCCAGCAGAACCTTTAACTAAAATATAAAAATAGCAACAGTGTTGTACTGTGCCTAGTACTTTTGTAAAGGGCACAAGTTGACAAAATTATATTCGTAAAGTGGACATAGCACAGTGACATAAAGTTTGGTTATTCGTTTAATTTCATCTTCAAAAAAATAGTTGCAAAAACGTCCATCAATCTGCACTTTTTTAAAGTAACCATTTAAAAACACCCTATACTTAATTTTGGCTTTGGAAAAGCGTTTTCCCATGATTTTGCTTACCGTCACATAGCACAGTGACACATGGTTTGGTTATTAGTAGAAACAGCTTATAACCAATTTCTTTTTCAAGAAATTAGTTGCAAAAACGTCCATCAATCTACAATTTTTTATAGTAACCATTTAAAAACATCCTATACTTAATTTTGGCTTTGGAAAAGCGTTTTCCCATGATTTTGCTTACCGTCCCTGTTATGGAGGACAGATTGTTTAAATCGCATATTAGCTTGCTAACCTGTCAAAATTGGCAGCTGCAACAAAGATGAGCATCAAAGCTAACCAATCGGTTATTTCCAACAAAGAATTTATAGTTCCACACCACTTAGAAAGTGGTATTATATCGATTTTTTATGCCATTATGTTTTTTGACATTATGTAGGATCCCCCCCCACTTGTAGTAGCTGAGCGTGTTGGTTAAACCTCTTGAGCTTGGATCTGATATGATGTAACCTCTGCTTTACAGATGGCACTATTGGAGGCGATTTATACCTTCTATGATTTAAACTGCAAGTTTTATACTATAGCTCGTTGCCATTCCTTCATAGGTGGCGCCCACAACAAGTAAGCGTAGAATCGGTTAGCAGCTACCTAGTCCATAAGTTGAAATGTTTCAGCGGATAGGTAGTCGACATCATATAATTATTTGTATCTCTGATTGTAAGACATTCTTTATTGGAAATAACCGTATTTTTCACGGTACTTCATTACGTCAAAACTGACAACAAATAATAGCCGATTATCCAGTGACACTAAAAATACCCTATATCGACAAGTGACACTCTGATCATGTCAACGTCAGACTTGTAGACAGAGTCGTATTTTGTTTTTTTTTGTACGCTAAGGATTCATTCTAACAACATTTATTTAGAAAAGTTTCGACCTATAAAGAACAACGATAAAGCTGCTGATGATAATGGCTATATTTTAAGCCAGGTAGGTATGTAAAAGAAAGTACCAGGCTCAAAACATATCTGTACCCCAGAGCCAGATTATGTAAGTCCATTTTTGTCAAAAATGAGTTCAATATGTTAAGCTTACGATAATATTGTGAATTTTCGTTTGCTGCTTGCAGCGTCCATCTATCTGTAATAATGAAGTTACGACTTTTTAACTCGTATAATAACAACACAAGAAAAATATTTCAAATTCAATTATCTCAAAACAACTTACTTGGACTTAACCTAATCTGGCTCTGAGGTACAGATATGGAATTTGTCTAGTAGTCAATTTTAATGAAAATTAGCGATAGTAGTTTATGTTGTGCTGATAAAATGTTACAAAGCCCAGAAATGTTTTCCAATAAGTAATTAGCCTCTTATGAGCAGAAACACATAAAAACGTGAATCCAAAATGCAAACTGATACAGGAAGTTCCATTTGAAAATTTTGAGACAAACAACGTATTGTGTTTTGCAGCACGCTAATGAAGTAGCGTAGGTTTTCATCTTCTTTTCAAAATTCAGTTATAATGTAATTAAAATAGCAGAAGTCAAAGCCTTTTCAAACAAATGATAAAATAACTAGACAAATCACAATCAAAATCCTACAATACGTTATATCAATCTTCTTGTCGTCGAAAGTTCTTTTTAAATAGCTAATATAATATAGGGCGTCTCATTGAAAAAAAAAACGTACACTCAATTGTCGCTACACCTGGTATATTTCAAAATAATTCTGAGATGTCAACGTACAATCTCGTTGCGCAAACCATTTTCGAATACATTTTATATTAACTACCATTTTTATTGGGACAGGTCCATAAGTACATTAAAGAAGAGTTAGTTTTCTTAAAATGGTGAAGGCAGGCGAATCCACAGGTGCTAAGGCACCAAACTTTAACACGCTGTATCTCCAATAAAAAGCATTTCTGGGCGTGTGTACATTCGAACATTCGATTAGCACATGAACTATCATTGTATGAATTTTCTTTAAAATTGATTTCCATATATTTTGTGCGTGGTACTTTCATTAGTGTTTGGTGGAAGTAGTTTCTGAATACTGTCGTGAGAAAAGCAGCAATATAAGCTTTCGTTCGTCCGGCCAGAGACGTCCAATCAACGTCAGATGTTTCGTGGTATTAGGCCCGCATCGTCAGTCGTCCCTACAATTGTAGGGCGCGTTTATGGCCTCCTTGATTGTCATACTCCTTTCTCTCCTTAAAAAATTTCTAGATTACACTTGTCCCGTGTTAGCGTCAGCGCTCTCCTATTCTAAAGATATGTTTTCTTTTTAAATTGTAGGAAATTTTAGGCTGATAAAACATGATATAACTCAAAAGCCAGCACAATTTGATGCAAATAGATGTTTGTGACATAACCTCAAAATAGAGCGCTGACGATACGGGCCTTAGACAACTCTATGGTGTACAGTTGGTATTGGTAGTCAACGGACGAAAGCTGAACAACTCTACACTACCCAGAGTATAAGGTTTATCTTATCGAAATACGACAGCAATAAGCGACATCTATTAGCAGAACCAATCACTGCGAAAGTGAAAACATCAAGCTGAATGTTGGAACTGTATCCCAGTTTTAAAAGATCCATTGTTGCCAAGAGTATAAACTTTCATATAGATGTTACTTGATAATAAACTGTTCAACCTATCAGACATGAAGCATCGTGAAAAATAGATACACACATCAATGCAAACCGAGGAGACCGAATATGTGATGGCAAATAAATATACTATTGAACAATACCCCTTGCAACTAATTTCTAAAAATTAAAAGCAGTATATGAGGATTGATTGCCTGGTTATGGCGATACCTATCGTACTTTTGCAACTAATTCCTGAAAATAATTATTTCCTGTTTTCCTAACCTCGACGAATTTACAACGTCATTTTTATCTTGGCTACATAGCAGCCTGCAAGGAGTAAATATTGCCCCAGCTTTGTCCTTTTCGCAAAGCAATTTTACATGTGAGCAGAGATGAGTTGATCTCAATCAGTCTTTTGGTTTTTCAAAACACAGCCTTCAACCTCTTTGGACCGTTCCAGTACGACTTTGACGTCTTGGATAACTTTTAGCGCTGGGCAGGAACTTTCCGTTGGTTCTTCTTCCGACATCGCTCCTTTTTCTTCCAATTTCTTCTCATCGGGTTTCGTTTCTTCTGTTCCTTTTTTCTCAGATTTTTTTTCTTTCGAGACGTTAGCTATCGATTTTTTTTCTTCACGTTTCTTTTCTACTGATACTTTTGTTTCACGTTTCTTCTCTGTAGATTTCTTTTCTATCGATTTCTCTTCGGTTTTCTTCTCTTCCGACACCTTTGTATCAAGTTCCTTCTCCAGCGATTTCTTCTCTATCGATTTATTTTCGTCCGATTTCATCTTATCGGAAGAATTATCTACACTAGTTTTGTCCTTAGCTTTTGCTTCTGCTGGAGATTTTTTCTTTTTAACCTCTGAAGTTTTTTTCGTAGATACTACGCTTTCACAGTTTACCTTTTCTTTTTTCGATTTATCCTTACTGATTTCTGGCACTACAGGAATTATAGAAAATACGTAAGTATGATACTCTGTTTGATCAATAATAGGTCAAAAATTACTTCTTTGATTGATCTGTTAAAAATGTTCAAACACTGCACAATGGAGGAATGATTAAAGGAAAAATAATTTTTTATTAGGGCCAACACAATGGGGTACGGTAGACAAGAGCGCCGACAAAGATTTTCTCCATGTATACCGCGAGCATCTGTCATCACGCGAGTCACTACAGCATTTGAAGTCTGGCATCCAAGGGACGCCGCGGTATAACAAGGGATGTCCACAGTATATTTGATACCCCCTGATCTCCAGAAAGGATTTTTTCTTTTGGCATCGAAGAACATAATGCGAGTATGTCCTTTGATGGTTCTGGAAGAATTTTTTCTCAGCATCAGAGAGCTTGATGTGACGTAGCGTGGTAGCGCCAGGATCTTCGCGGCATGGGGAATGCGGCAGCATGCCGACGTCTCTCGCCGCAGTATCCCACACGTTTTTTTGATAGGTCGGAAAGAATTTTTTGTCAGCATCAGATACTATGATGTGTGATACCGTGGTAGCGCGAGATGCCAGAGAATGTCGCGGCATGATGAGAAATGCGGTGACATGCCGATGCCTCTCACCGCAGTATCATACGGAATGTCCTTTAATAGCCCAGGAAGAATTTTCCCGCACAGCATCGAAGATCGCGATGTGAAATACCGTAGCGGCACGACATGATGAGAACAGTATCCTACGGTACGTCCTTTGATAGCTCGGGCAGAATTTTTTCTCTCTGCATTGAAAAGCATAATGTGATATACCGTAGTGGCGCGGGGCGATGAGGGTTACGATGGCATGCCGACGTCTCTCGCTACGGGATCTGATGGTACGTCCTTTGACAGCTTTAGAAGAATTTTTCTCGTTGGATCAGAGAGCATGATGTGCGCTACCGTGGTAGCGCGAGATGCCGGAAAATAAAGCGGCTTGATGAGGAATGCGGTGACATGCCGATGTCTCTCGCTGCAATAACCTACAGTATGACACCTAAGAGAGAATTTTAGCGCTCAGGATCGAAGATCGTGATGTGAAATACCTTAGCGGCGCGGTATGATGAGGGATGCGATGACATGCCGACGCTTCTCGTCGCAGTACCTCACAGTGTTTTTTGATAGATCTGGAAGATTTTTTTTCGCGTCACCAGAGAGCATGATGTGTGATACCGTGGAGGCTCGAGATGCCGGAAAATGTCGCGGCATGATGAGGAATGCGTAGACATTCCGATGTCTCTCGTCGCAGTAAGCCCTTTGACAGCTCAGGAAGAATGTTCCCGCTCAGCTTCGAAAAGCATGATGTGAGATACCGTAGTGGCACGACATGATGACGGATGGCATACCGACGTCCCTCGTCGCAGTATCCCGCGGTTCGCCCTTTAATAGCTCTAGGAGATTTTTCAACGGCATCAGAAAGCATGATGTGTGATGCCGTGGTGGGGGGCGACGGCATTGCGCGACAGCGTAACTCGACTCTCCTAACCCGATCCCAGTTTGCGATAACCCTTAGGTGTTATAACCTTATGTGAATAATAAACTTAATAAACAAAAAAAAGAATTGATATAGAGTTAGACTTGTTACCTGGTATAGGCAAGGCATCGTTATCAACATCCATTTTCTTGTCAGCTTCTTTACTTGTTACTACTTTACTACTGGTTGGTTCTACTACAGGATTTTCACCTGCTAATATCTTCGTGATATCTACTTTGATCACCTTCGACGTATCCAATCCCTTCTTTTTAGCTTAAAATAAGAAATGGAATAATGATTCTCTTATACTTGAATGAAATCAGATCCAAACAGTTTTACTCAGAAACCAATATAGCAAAAATTCCGAACTCTTGTCGTGTGAAAACTATTTTCTTCAAAATAATTAGACAAAAAGCAGTATTTTTCTGATTCTATTCTCTTTCAGTTATTTTCATTTCAAAATGATTTGTATTTTGCAGCGAAATTTATAAAAATCACTACAGTATAATAATAAAAAACGATAATACTCACCATCAATTGCGTCCTCTGTCGGTTTCTCGACCTCAGGCGGATCGTCGGGAATCGTTATACATTCTGCAGTTACATTTTGTAATGCTGTGAGGCTTTTCACTCTCAAAAATGGTCTTCCACCACACCTATCCGCTTCGCCTGCTCGACTAGAATAGAAAATAATACAATAATTCAAGCCTGTATATCTTAAGTAGCCTACTGTTATTTGTTATTTGCAAAATTTAACCAGTAGCTGCGAAATAGATGGATTAAACTACGAATCATGATACTTGAAAACACTAGCTAGTGAACGTAAGATTTAAAGCAAAACTAAATGTATGTTGAATTAATAACAAGCAATGCGATTTAAAAACTTCAAAAAAATATTTTTCTACGCCTCTGGTATCCTGTACAAGCGCGTCTTCCATTTAGTTATTATTTAGTCATTACCTTGTACTAGGTTTACTGGTACTGGCCACAGGAGTACTAACTTTAGCAGCCGGTATAGGCGAACTCGCAGGACTGATGATAATCACATCGTCGTCCTGATCGGCAGCTTTAGAAGTACTGGGTGTGGGTGTTGGAGAAAGGGGAGTAGCAGGAGCAGCTCCAGTTTGGTTTTTCGGAGGAAAACGGGTGTTCTTTATACCTAAAAATAAATAAATACACATTTGTTTTATACTTGGACCATCACGAAGGCCTAAGGTCTAAGCATCCATGGGTAACGTAATAGGGTAAAGGGATTCTAGCGAGGGGACACGTGTGCATGCAACATGCACACATTCTGGCCCCGCCTTAGAGATCCGCAGGGTGGTACCTCCGCGTTTGACAGACAGAGACCGTCTTCCACCTGCGGACAATCACAACATCCATAGCCAAGAGAAAAATTCTCTTGGGACCTGCGCAGCGCGAGACGACCGATTAGGAGACTCATAACGTCTACAAATACGCCACCGATGCTACCTGACATTTAGTGCTTTTCAAAAAGATCCATCTACTTATTTTTTGAACATGTTACGTTAGCGACTCAAGGTACAAAGCCGCTCAACTTTGACAGGGATAGTGATTTTATCAAAATCAGACAAAACAAAGTGGCATCTACATCAGAATCGACCACCGCGACAGTGAAAACAGCAAGCTGTATGTCGAATCTGAATTTCAGTTCGCATTGTCAATCGAGTCATTACTGTGGCCGCTAGATGCCGCCGATTCTGGTACGGGTCCAGCACTCATATGTAACCTTTTCAAAATGCCATAAATTCGATTTGGAAAATGATTTTTATTTATTCCAAAGTACAGAATGCGTGAAAATATTTAAACATGCAGAAATAATTCACTTTGGCTCAATACCACCTTTTGCCTCGACTATAGCATTGAGACGGTCCAAAAACGAATCACAAGCTGCCCGAATGTGACTTGACGATATTTTGGCCCAGTCACTGATAATGGCTTCTTCAGTGTCTCGAGGCTGGTGTATCTCTTAGCTCGGACCTTGCTCTCCAAAATGACCCAGGTAGAATAATCCATTGGATTCGCGTCGGGTGAATTCGAGAGCCATTGTGTGGTCGAAATGAAGTTTTTTTTCAGCCATTCTTGGTTCATTCGCGCTGTGTGCGACGGTGCCGAGTCTTGTTGAAATGTCCATGGCCTGCGGCCGAAGTGTTTGTCTGACCACGGCTTCAAAGCAGCCTCCAGAACACTCTCCCAATAGTATGTCGCATTTACTTTGACGCCAGGCTCAATGAAAACGATTCGAGAGCGCTCACCCGCCGTTACAGCGGCCCAAACTATTATTTCTGGCGCGTGCTGCTTCCGGGTGACCAACCGGTGGCTCAAATTCTCGTAAGAACGTTCGTTCAAGTAAACCCTATCATTTTGAGAGTTTACAAATTGGTCAATTAGAACAATTTTCTCGTCAGAAAACACATGTTCGGATTGACCACTTTCGGCCAAGCTGAGCAGCTCCTTAGCTCTCAAGTCGCACTTCTTGCTGATTCGATGTAAGATCGTGCGACTTTCGGAACTTGTAAGACTTGACCTTGAGCTCATTTTTCAATATGCTTCGCACGCTGCGATCGGGTATTTTCAGTTCTTTAGCCATTTGATTGGCACTTCGTCGCTCAAGTGGCTTCTTAACTTTTCGAACCATCTCAAGTGACGTTGCACTCTTTTGATGATCACCTCCATAACGTTTTCATATTCACATCGAGATGTTTGAGCTCACGTAGAATCGCTGGTTGTGATTTTCCAGACAAATATAAAGCAATAACACTATTGCGTTTGAATCCCATTACTTATAACTTCTTTTGACAAAATGCTTTTGTACGCTTGTAGAACTGTCATTTAGCAAATTTATTGACAGCTTTTGTCAGTGTGACAGATGCGAGAGCGGTCTGAAGTTGGTTACACTTCGCGAGCCGGACCCTGTACAGTATTACGGCCTACTTGCCATTGAACAAACTAGTAATTGTCCGACTCTGAATAGAAATACTCAGCTTTCGCTAGTTTTCTACCGAGACCTCCTACGCGATGCTGCAGATAGCTCGAAACAGCTGTCATGATTGGGCGTCTGTGGTCGGACGAACGAAAGATCTATCATTGATGATTTTATATTCTCAAACCATAACGTACCGCCATCTTGGTTTTGAGATGTTGTGTGTTAAAATATAGTATTTACGCATGAATTTCATCACACCAAAGTTAAACTTGCTAACTTGACCCTTTCAAAAATTAAGCAGTGTGGTGGAAGGTGTGGCCTTTCTGAAATGCACTGTATTTAGCACTTTGCCCAAAGAGTAAAAAAAAAATGACATCTAATGCGCGAAGTCAAAAAATGGAGTAGCTAATACTACATACAGATTACAGACTAGGATACCAAAAACCGCGTATACAGTATATGGTTTTTGGCTACTCATCGAGTTAGAACCAATTCTATTCATGTTCAATCTCTCGAGAAAACACAAGTGGGCAGACTGTTGGAAAATGCCTTTTAGGGTAAACAGTCACCTACAGTGATTAAAGTCATAGTGTGCCTTGATGAAAATAATGTATTCGGTGTTAACCTTTATGTAGTCCTTAAACATGCTATGTTAAGTGTTTCTTTTCTACTGAATAATAAATGATACTACGACATAGTACTATATGCCGTAACCAATGAGGAGTACACTAATGCCCATCACCTTTTTGATAGGTCGAGCATGTCAAAAAATATAGTTTGTCATAGTTTAAGTCAATGATCATAAAGCGGTCCAGCGCCTTCATGCTGAATAGAAGTAGCCATGGCATAGCTTTGTCAGTTTGACAGAATTTTTTACTTAAATTTGATAGTATATTAGTTAACGTTGCAAACTGCCAAAGCTATTCCACGGCTGCTGCTTTAAGCATAGAGCGCTGTGGACCGCTGTACGTTGGCTGAACGGTTCCACTGATTTGGAAGTTTGACACAAATATGTTTCGCCACTCTGAACAAAGTTCAAATAATATCTGGTGTTGGAGCACTACTCACATGTATGTTTCTAATTGAAGTGGTTGTAGGTCATGATGAAGGGTTACCCAAATAGTTTTATTATGAAGGCGACTGAAGATACCACATCAATCGAAACGTCGTGTTCTCAAACACTGCATAGACAATGGAAGTCCGAAATAAAACTTGAGACATACACATTATCTACAAAGTACAACGTGCAAAACATATGGAGGTCGACTACTCAAAGAAAATTGAGTGCCAAGCCCAGAAATGGTTTCTATTCTAGATATAGGGTGGTAAAGGTTGGTGCCTCTCAATCTATATGGTGTGTTTGCCTGCACCATTTTACGAAAACTAACTCATCTTTAATATACCCGGGGAATTTAACGATACAATGAAAAATCACGTGAACACACGTGAAAGTTGTTCGATAGAAAAACTATATAAGATATTTAAAAATGGTTTGCATAACAAGACTGACATCGTATAGGTGTGTATCTCTAAATTATTTGGAAATATACAGGGTGTTTCACAATTCCCTTGGCGCAACAAAATGTTTTTTTAATAGAACGCCCTATACTATATTAGATATTTAGAAAGATCTTTCAAAAATAACGAGAAAATTTGGATCATCGTTGAGTTACTCTACAATTTGTCTAAAGAAATGCCTATTCTTGGTAGCTTTAACTTCTGCCATTTTTCTTAGTTTCTCACTGAATTTTGGAAAGAGGCTGAACATTTTTAAATGGAACATCCCATATATATTTTCACCATCAGATCCGCGATTTTATATGTTTCTTCTGATATAAAATTTAATACTGTTTTATTAGAATGCTTGTCTGCTTATATATGAAATATAAGGTGTTTCATTAAAGAAAGCATGTTTGTTGTCCCACAGAATTGAGCTATACCCAGTATATCTCCAAATAATTTATAAATACATAACTACAAGATATCAATATTGCTGTGATTCGTTTAGAATATCTTTTATACTTTTTCTATTAAACTACTTTCCATGTTCGCTGAGATATATTGTATATGTTCAAAAGATTTTTATTATATTGTTGTCTACAATAAAGACGAGTAATTTTTTGTAAAATGGTGTAGGCAGGCTTACCTACAGGGACAAAAGCACCAAAATTGAACACCCTGTATCTCCAACAGAAAGGATTTCTGGGCTTTGCGCCCGTTGAAACATTTGATCAGAATAGCATGAACTATCTTATACGAATTCTCATTAATATTAACCGGTGGCAAAGTTCCATATGTTTTGTGCCTGGTACTTTTAAACAACGGTTACCCAAATACATTTTGTCATTAACTTCGATCTATTTCTGCCAAGTTTCCAAAACATTCGTGAACTTTTCAGAAGTTATAAAGGGTCCTAATAATTTGACCCCTTACGATCACCTGACCTCATGTATTGAATTTGACTACAATGTACAATCTCGAGTTAATTACATATCTGCTGTCAAAAATTCTGATTGCCAATTGACTTTACAAAGTGCGTGTTTACCAAATTTTTAGACGTTACAGTCTGACCCATTGATTTGTCTACTTACGATAGCATGACCTCATACGAAAATTGATTCCCATGTAAAATCTCTAGCTGATTACGAATATGCTGTCAGAGATGGTGGTTGTTATTTGAGCAAAGTCTACTTCCAATGCCCTCAGAGATAATTATCTAGCTCTTATAAGAAGTCACCGACAAATTCCATTTTAGATATGCCGAAACTTTCGTACAAACCTTTTTTCGAAAAAAAAAAATGACAGGTTACAAAGTTTTTGGGGTGTTCAGATATAATTAATATTCCTCAAATAATCTCAAAAGCTGTCCATTACTAAACTTTGTGCCAATAGGCACTTTTTATCGGGAGACCAGTAGACCACGATGTGAAGACCACAAATTCAAACAATTTCACTGTACCACTATTATAGTAGGTTTTGTGCATTAGCGCCATATAGGTCGATAGACACCCTAAACAGCATCCGCTAAGAAATGTGCACATCGTCGGCAAATAATGCATTATCTGCAAAGGTGGGGTTTCTATCGGTTTATACGAACTCGATGGGCGGACACGTGTGATTATTCCTACCCTGGGATCACGAGGGGCCAAAAGTAAGTACCTGTTTCATTTTATTATACTTTCATTTCCGCGGCGATTTGTTGATACTTAATTTTTCGTGAAATCAACATCTCTTACCTTGTATAAATTCGGCTCTGAGATTCTTCCTGATCTGTATCAGCGAGTTGATCGACGTGCTGAGGATCTCCTGCAGTTTGTTGTGGACGACAGCCAAAGCTTCGACGCTCGTAGCGGCCGCTTGCGCTCTGTTCAGGTTCGTCAGCGTGTACGACAGGTTCGAGTTGACGCGAGCGGCGGCTCGCACAGTTTTCTCGAACCATTCGTGCCTTGCTTGGGATGTGGGCGTAGTTGTTTGAGGCCTCTGCCTTACGAATGCCTAAAAAGATATAATGGGAAATTGTATGGAGCTGATTATTGGCAGGGTTAGAACGAGGCATCGGTTTCGGCCAAAAAGTCCGAGGTAGGCGAGTGTTAAAGGTTTATCCGTCATCACGTGTAAGTTGTATAAGTTGATAAGACTGCCGCCAATTTGGAGGGACAGGAGTACAAGCATAATGGCCAACGCGACCAAAACGTGCCATAAGGCGTTAGAGACGTTAACCAAGTATCTGAGTCCAACACACTCCATTAAAGTGACGAAAAGCAACCGAGAGTCCTATAGAATGTCAAAAAATCGACATAATGTCACTTTTCACGATACGTAATACGAGGTTTCTTCAAAAAGTATGGCAAATTGTGAATTTTCGCGGGCTACGTATGTTCGATTTTCGATCTATTTGTGGCGTTATGTTAGCACTCATGACCCTCACTAATGTTGACAATATCGGCCATTTTAAATGTTCAGTCTGTTTTTGACAGTTATTGTCCGTGGACGTCTTTTAGCGTGTCTCCGATTTTTGTCTATTGCAAAAAATGGATCAAAGAATTTGTATAAAATTTTGTGTAAAAAAAAACAACTGGAAGTGCGCTTACATATTCCAAATGTTGACTGTTGCATACGGCGAAGCTACTTTGGACAAAAGCAACGTTTATCGGTGGTACAGAGGGCCGAGAAGATGTGAGCGACGAAAAGCGTTCCGGATGCCCCAGCACGTCAACAACAGACCAAAACCTTGATGAGTTCCTGCCGCAGGGTAGAACGGTCAATAAGGAATATTACCTTCAAGTACTTGTAATGTGAATTTGCGAGAAGCAATCCGCCAGAAACGCCCGGATTTGTGGAAGAACAAAAATTGGCTTTTGCACCATGATAACGCCCCTGCTCATGCATCGTTACTTGTTCGCGAATTTTTTTTTCCAAAAATAACACTCCAATAATGCCTCACCCACCGTATTCCCCAGACCTGGCCCCCTGTGACCTTTTCTTGTTCCCTAAAGGAGGGAGCTGAACAAGATCACATAAAATGATTTTTCATAATGCTTCGAGGATTGGAAAAAAACGTTATCACAATATCTGATGGGGGATTACTTCGAAGGGGACAAAATAGATATTCATTAATAAATAAATAATTCTTGAAAAACCATGAAATTCGCGATACTTTTTGAACAAACCTCGCACACCTGCGGCTACGCGCCGGTGCCGTACGAGCAAAACGAGCTCGAAAAAAAAACTTAGTGACCCAACAGAGGTCATCCTGCCAATACGTCAATATTATAGACGTTCTGTAAATACAGTGTGGCCGATATGTAACTGACTGGTTTGTATCTTGAATATTTATGAAATGAAATAAAATACGTCCATATTTCCATCTTAATCTTTTATTGAAGCTTAGAAATTATGTATGAAAAATAAAACCAGACAATGTCCGCCTCTAGAAGCCGCGCAAACCTGAGCCCTCTTGATTAAATTTTCCATCACTTTTTGGTAGGTTTCGGGAGAAATATTTTCAATCGCTTCCGTAATATTGTTCTTCAGCTGCTCTACGGTATTAGGTTTGTTGGCATAAACCCTATTTTTCGAAAATCCCTATTAAAAAAATCAGGAGCCGTTAAATCCGGTGACCTTGGTGGCCATCGGTTGACATCACCAAATCGAGAAATTAAGCGTCCCGGAAATGTTCGCAAAAGATTCGTTGTTTCCTAGCTGTGCGACAAGTTGCTCAGTCCTGCTGGAACCACATGTTTTGCAGGTTAAATTGTTGGATTTGAGGAGCCAGAAAGTTTTGCACCATATCACGGTAGCGCTCGCCAGTGACAGTAAGAGAATTACCTGCAGCGTCCAATGACACCTCCACACCAAATACCGCACCAAAATGTGACTCGACGAGGATGTAGTGTTCGTTGATGGATGACACGAGGGTTCTCCAATAATAACAAATCTGTTCATATCGAAGTGGGCTTCATCCCTCATTATCAGTTGTCGGTAAAAATCGTTATTTTGGGTATTAAGCTGCAATACTGCATGACTGTATTGTCGGCAACTTTCATGGTCGCTAGGCTGTAGTTCTTGGGTTAACTGAATTTTGTATGGCCGCAAATGCAAATATTTTTTTAAAATAGCGTATAATGACGTGCGACGAATACCCAGTTCTTGAGAACGATGTCTGGTAGACGTATCAGGGCGCTCCACTACACTTTCACGAACTCTCTCGATATTTCCCGGAGTACGAACAGTTCGAACACGGCAAGTCTTTAACTTCACCTTTTTGTAGAAATTCCGACTGACGAATAGTGTTGACACTAGGCACATTATTTCGACCGAAATCTTGTGGTAGCTTCCGAATCGTTACAATAATTTAAGTAAAACGTTTTAATAATACGGACACATATATGCCACTTAGCCTAAGAACCAAGAAAAAGACAACATATGATCCAATGGGTAAGACTCATATAACTCACTAGGCATAATTAAAATAATTTTGGCAGTACACGAGATAATGTTGAGAACCTGTTTTAGATCGAACATGCGATGTAACACTGCCCTAACTGAAGTATAGCATCAGCGGACATTTCCGTTAGGAGCGCGAGCTCGTTTTAGTTTTATCTATCTCTTGGTAGGAGCAAACAAGTTTTTGCGAGAGAAAAACAATAACAAATCCATTATGTCATACCTGTGTGGGTGCTTGAGGTCGTATTGTAGTTTGAAGTCGAGGTGCCGGCATTCTTATTTGTCGAGGTGAATTACCAGGTACTACCATACCTCCAGGAAGTATCTTTATGTATCCAGGGGAAGGCGTACCAGGTGGCCCTGAATTAAAAGAAAACACATAGACGAAAATTGGTAGAAATGGAGTAAAATATATCCAAACGCGTGCAAACCATGCAATTTTCTAATAAAAAACTCAAAAGTTTTCATTTGATTTTTTTTCAGAAAAAGTATTTTACGTTTATAAACACCCTATATAAATAATGAAGAACGTTCAATAGACGAGAAACTACTCTATCTGCAAATATAGCAGGGTTACAAGCTGTCAGTGTTTTTAAGGGAAAAACATCCCGTAGCTACAAAAGTACCGACCCGAACTCCCGCGCCTAAATATTTCTAAACCTGCGCATACTAGAAAAAAAGTTACAAACAAAAATTGTAGCCATCTCTTTAGCCATGACCTTGACCATGGCCCTCAATGTCAAATCAAAACATCGAAAATAATTTGTTCTAGCAAACATGTTCGACAGCTCAGTTGTGTTGATTGAGGAATCATCCAAAGGAGACGCTGGCCATGACCTTGACCAAGACCTTTCAAATAAAAATTTCTGGAAATGGAAAAGCAGAAAAATATATGACCGAATCTGACCTTGACCTCAAATCCAAGGTTGCGTCAATTTGCTCTAGCAGAAATATTCGACAGCACAGTTGTGGTGTTTATGGGGATCACGCAAAGGGGATTTCCGCCATGACCAAGTCAAATTTCCAAAAAATGCAGGAAATATCTAGTGTAAAAATGAGAAGCTTCCTTTGGAAATTTTGACTTGACCTGGAAGGTAAGATTTGGGTGAGCCCACAATCCTCAAACTGCTGTCTAAACATTCTTGTCAAATTGTCTCCAATGTCTTGTTTAGATCATGAAATGACCTTAAAGGAAATAGCCAAGGTAAAGTGATGGTCTAATTCGGATGTGAAATTTCCCCCACTTTTCAATTTCGATGTAAAAAGGGGCTTCCATAATGAAAATGTTCACTTGACCCTAAATGTCGTAATCAAGGGCATTGTCAAGGTCACCATCATTTTGCCCACTCGAAACCCTACAATTTTTGTATGGAACTTATTTTTAGGATGCGTAGTTTTCAAAATATTTGTTTACAAAGCTCTATGCCATGGCACAGCGGCTGCTAAGAATATTTCAAAGAAACTTTGTTAATCCGATTTTTGAACTGTCTAAGGTTAGTACAACTGGGAAGAGCCTCCTCTTGTAGATTGTTCCACAATCTCGACATTCTAGAGTCCAAAGAGGCGGTCGTATCGGCCAGTTCTGGATGTACGAAGTTCGACACGGTTATTCGTGCCAGTTCAAGTCCACGGTGATCTGGACTCCGACCAGCCGATATCAACGGGGAGATTAAATTGGGACACCCCGTATAGTATGCTATATCAAGCTTCTTTCGAAAAAGTCTTTCAGAATATACTAAAATACACAGGCTATTTAAACAAGTATGTTTGTTTTAAGATATGAGTCATCCAGTATAGAACAGAATATTTTCCAAGTAGAATGCGGATAATTGACTACAATTTATGCAACTCTTTCTATTCATCATTGTCTGTCAGAGCGATCCGTAGGACCTTTGCTTCGGATGAAGTATTGTAAGTCAGACCTACTGACTTACAATACTTTATCAGGCCTGGTTGCTTAGATACCAGACAAAGTCAGGGAGAAACAAAGAAGAAAGGGATGAGGGAAAGAGGGAGAACGAAGAAAAAGAAGTGCGTCGATTTGAGGGGTGCCTTGTCATTGTTAACTAGTATTCGGTAATTTTAAATCGATCCAGAAATGAATTTAGAGATTGGTCGTTGAAGAAAAATTATAGTTTTAGTTGGCCCTAAAGTGGCAAGATTTTATTTTGTTCACTTTGTGAGCCGCGGCCTCGTGCTTGCGAACTCGAATGAAAAGTCTACTGACTCGCGCAATAAATGGTTGCTATGTGATTCGGCAATTTTTGTAGCATTAATATATCTTCTGAAACACACTAACAATTCATCGTCTATTCGGAATCAAATAAAGCCTCTATTTTTAAATATATTCAATATGAAAACATATCAATTTATTAAATAGCACTTTTCTGTGACACCATATACACAAAAGAAACCGTATGAAATATTTTGTATAAGAGCCTAAAACTTGACAAAACTTTTTTCTACAAAAAAATTTAAGGAGGAATCAGTTTATAGCAGGATACTGTGTTCTGCTTGTAAATTGACGACTAAGAATTAATTTGATTTTTTAACTGGTGAAAAGTCACCATAACGTATGTCCTAAAAGTATTGGCACAAAATTCATTGTCTTTAATTTTAACAAACACAAAATAATATCAAGTTACCTTTGTTTACTTACTCCACTGTCAGTTGAGATTTATTTATTTTGTAGTTTTCGCTTTAAGATGTCGTATAAACTAGAAATAAGAAAAAGTATCTACAACTTGGTTGCGCGGGTACCCAAAGCTGAAATCTGTCGAATATTCCAGAATGAAAACATTTCGGGCAGAGCCATTTATCGAACAATAGCGGAGTGCGAGCAGGGAATACCATGTCCGAATCTCCCAAAAAGTGGAAGACCACATACATTTACTGCACAGAGGTTAGAGAGATTGGTGAGAAGAGCAGTTTATAGGATCAGGTTCAAATGTCAATAAGGAAACTGGCTCGTCAATACAGATCTTTTAAGAGTATGATATTGTTGGAGTTCGGGAGGAATGATCTTAAATATCGAAACAGACTCAAGTGCCACAAATACTCTCAAGCGCAACTTCTTCGTATACCAAGATGCTGTCATCAACTCGCCAACTAACAATTATCACTCCTATTAGAGTTGCAAGAACGATTGAATCCCAAAAAACACGTTTTCTCATTCTTTGTTGTCAAATAAAAAGTTTTCCCACAAAAAATGGTGTAACCATTATATGCGTCCATGTTTAAAATGCGCCCTTGAACAACTTGCACCAATAACACCGGACTTTGCAATTATTTCGGGAAAATGTGCTAATATGATTAGACTATATGTTAGATGAACGCCTACATTGGAAATATACATTTATGAGATGTGCTTAGCGGTGCGCCTGTAGCCTGTCCAGAAAATCCGTCGATCGATGCTCAAAGTCAATACCACACGTCCCGCGTTTCTTCCCGCGTATCTTTCTATTTATGTTGCTATATTGGAATTCGTTTAATTCACAGAGCTTCTGCATTACACGTGAATGTGTACAGCCCTGCATTTCTGTTCTTGTTTCGTACAAACATACATTATCAAAATGATTGTGATCAAACATATATAGTTTTTTCCAAAGATGTACAGATAAAATCCTTGTCTGGTGTGCAACAACAGGGGTGTATCCCAACCTTTTGTGGGAAGAGTGAGGCGTAAAGCTTTGAATAGCTATATTGATAGCTGCCTTTCCAAATTGCTTCAGTTTGCCCACGAACATCATGCTAAATACCATATCATGTTTTTACCAGACATAGCATCATGCCATCACTCAAAAGATACCCAAAACTGGCTTCGACAACAGAACATACCTTTTGTTTCCAAAAACGATCATCCTCGAAGCTTGCCGCAGACTCGACCAATAGAGGACTTTTGGGCTTTACTGTCTAGGAAGGTTCATCATGGAGGCTGGGTAGCCCAAGATGAAGAACAATTAAGACGGCGAATTTACGAAAAACAGAGAAATTGATATGAACTCTGTCCAGGACCTCATGAGAGACACTCGAAGAAAGTTGCATCTGGTATATAACTAGTCAATGTTTAAATAAATTTCTCTATTAAAAAAAAATCCAATAAATATTTTGTACCAAAACTGTTGATATACGTTATAAGATGTCGCCTAAACAACAACAAAAAACACAATTTTCAATACATTAATCGCAGTACGAAGCCTTAACTTACTCTGTGTCTGAACAGTGGCTGCATTTTGCCCTATCGTCACGATTTTAGGCCTAATACCGAATTGCGGTGAGGTTCTGGGCCTGAACTGGGTGACAGTAGGCCCCGCTTGTTGAACTGCAGTCGCAGACACCCCATTGGTTCGAGGTGGTTGAACTGGCACTATTCGAGGAGTAGTTTGTGCAGCATTAACCGTCGCTGGTGGGGTAACTGTATGTGGAACTGTAATAAAAAGATCCTGTTTTAAGTACACAAAAGCCTCCTAAGTGATCTGCAATTGTTTTCTCTATCAGATGTATTACACTCTAATATCTCTGCTTGCATTAACTTGAAATAGTAAGCTTACCTTTTTCAATCACTTGCTGATCATCTTCCTCATCCTTCAAAGGATTATAATCTGGATCAACGACGACCTTTTTCCTCTTTCTCTTTGGCTGGTCAGCAGGACTGTCGGTAGCTTTCTTTTTCATAGACTGACAGCAGAGAGCATGGTCGGTGCTAGTAAAGTCCGAGAAGTTTTCTAACGTTGCTGCCCGTCTGAAACAAAAAGAAATGAAGTGTAGATTGGAAGAATGAATACTTGGATAAGCAGGAATAAGCGGAATTTCGGCAATGTTGTGGCAGGGTATATAAATTATAACACTGTAACAGCCCGAAAAAGTATTGTTTTATGTCATTTTTTTTTGTTGGTGGAAGGAATTTCATTAAAATAAAAATATCGTAGGAAGCTATTAAATATATATTTAAGTAACGAAAAAGAAAATTATCACGAATATACGCGTTTTTTTAAAACGACACCCAGCATAACCGGAACAATTACGATACTCTTCATTAGAATTTTTATAATATCTTAATATAACATAGTATAATTTTTAAAATTCCCTACGTACTTCTTTAGGTATAAACATCTATACTTTGTTTTTTCTTTTCTCTAGATCCAAATTTGAAGCAGTGGAGCACCTCAAATTCTATGTGCCTGACTATATACTCAATAACTTCCTCCAATATTATTATTTATTACCTTTTCTTCCCCAAAAAAATTCACAAAAAATCTCTTTTTTTAGACCGTTACAGTTGTGTTCAGAAAGTATGCAAAATGTCTCGAAAAATACTTTTATAGAGAAAAATCTTGTACGACAAAGTTGTAAGATTTATTCATTTGTGACCTTGATAGTTTTATTAAAATGAAACCCTCATTTTTGAAACCGGCACTGTAAAAAGCAGGAAATCTTCAATGAATTTGAGGGTGTCCAGAAAGTAGGTAAAAGGCAAAATATCTCGAAACATACGTTTTATGAAGAAAAATGTGCAATGACGTTGTAAGATTTGCAAAAAATCATCTGATGGTGACCTTGACTATGGCTTTCAAGGCTATTCCGTTTTCTCAAATGAAACCCCTATTTTTGACACCAGTAATGTAAACAGCGGGAAATTTAACCTCTGTTTACCTGGCGTTGACGGATCCCTCAGAATGATGTGTCATTTGTAGATATGAGGAATTTTGAAATATTACTAGATAATCAGTAGCCATCTTATCGCAAAAGATACTCAAGTATAATAGCGTCACCGTCCTTCAGTGTGAGGAATGAGACCTTAGAATTTAGTACACTTTTAATATACCTATAAAACTTTTTATCTGATGTAGGCAAATTTTCTTCACACCACACGACTTTTTTATTAAACGTCTTACTTTATTATTCTGGTTTTGATACACTCTGTATCTTTCTGCGCTTCTTTCATTCCGGTACTTTCCCCACAGTTTCAGTTTGACATCATTTTCCTTGACTATTTTTGGAGTAATCCATCGCTTCTGATTATTATTTACCTTTACTGTCTTCACTGGTTTTTGTACATCAATTATGTCAGATGTCAGCCACTTTCTGCTCAAAGTGCTTGAATACTTCACATATAGTCAACGCCAAACAAAGTGGCGTGCACGTCATCACGATAAAAATTCCCCGACCTAATGCCTAGGTTTCTATCACAAACAATTGCTCTATTGCAGTTTCATATTAATGTGATATATAAATTGTAAAATGGTCATTACTCTCTTTATTATGGTTAATAGTCATATAAACATTGTTATTAAAATATCACATAAGTTGCTTTCTGATAAATTTAGACGCATTATGCGAAATAAAATGTTTTGCAAACGCTCCAATCACTTATCGACATGTAAACGCACTAAACCGATTTCGCAGCGTTGACACATTGTCACCTTGAAACTTATTTAAACTGGGAACTGACATTTGTATTAATTTTGACACTGAATCAATTTGTGGCATTTCAAATATTTATAAATCCTTTGGCCCCGCATACTGTAAATCAACAACTGTTTGTTTCAAAACAAAATTATTCATTTTACGAGTAGATAAAGGCAATTTTGGTATATCAAGATGCCCAAACAGTTAAATAGTCGGTGTAAGGAACTCGTGGCCTCGTTAATGCACTACTTTGAGCAAGAAAGGGACAACAACGGGCCTTTGTTGCCTTTAAATGCTGTTCAAGAGGTAGGTTACTAATAATTATATGTAATGTATATTAATAATAGTGAAATTTTATTTCATTTTTTGTAGCGTGTTGCTGCTGCTTTAAAAATTAGTTTAAGGACAGTTAGTCGTATTTCCGAGGGTGTGAAAAGTGATGCAAATTTAGAATCGCCCAAGAAAAAGCGGAGTTATATTAAACGTGTAACCAACACAGCGACATTGGATACAAGTGCCATTCGAGAAGTGATCTATAATATGTATCACAAAAGTAAGATCTTATTATAATAACTTATCAGAAATTTGCATTAATTTGTTAACTAAATTATAATGTCATATTAAACATGGTTTCAGAAGAACAAGTTACGATACAAACTTTATGGTCTCGATTAAGAGATAGGGCATTATTTGATGGTAGTGCCACGTCTTTAAGGCGGTTGCTTAGAGATCTTGGATTTAAGTGGCTTAAGGACAATCCGCGACGAGGGCTCATGGAACTACCAAGTATAGCTTTGAAAAGGGTGGAATTTCTAAGGCAATACAATCAAGCCAAGGTTGAGGCCTTATACCAGTTTGTCTTCCTCGATGAAACTTGGATATTTCAAAATGGGACCATAGGTCGCTCTTGGCAAAATGGAAACCAAAAAAGCGTGAAAGCTATTAAAACAGATGGTAAAAGGTATGTACTTTTACACAATTTGCACTATAAAATTTAAAACTAATATATTTTAGATACATTATATTACATGCTGGAAATGAAAATGGGTTTATTGAGGGTAGTGAAGCGATATTTTCTTCGAAAACAAAATTGAGCGATTACCATGGAGAGATGAACCAGGACAATTTTTTGAAATGGTTTCAACATCAGTTATTAGAAAAATTGGAGAGTCCATCTATGATTATACTGGATAACGCCCCTTATCACAGCATGATATTGAACAAAGTGCCCAACAATGCATGGACAAAAAAAAATATCCAAGACTGGTTGACAAATCAAAACATACCCGTTTTTAAACACAATGTTTAAAACAGAGCTATTGAGTATTGTTTCTCGGTACATAATGCTTCTTAATTATATATATTTTGGTCGACAGTTTATATTTCTTTTGTTTATTCCTATTCTTAAAATAACTGCTTTTTTAGAAACAAACCACCTAAAATATACGTGATTGATGAATTGGCGGAACAACATGGGCACAAAGTTCTTCGTCTGCCTCCTTACCATTGTATATTTAACCCTATTGAGTTAATTTGGGGCATAGCAAAAGGTTACTATAACAGACATATTGGTAGAGATGGTAACAGTGAAAAAGACTGTTTGGATATGTGGAACGAGGCTCTACAAACGGTTACCCCAGACATGTGGAAAAATAGTGTTCGACATACTGAGCAAAAAATTTTTAAATGGTATGAAAGAGAACAAATTTTTGATCGACCAGACATCGAACCTTTAATAATCAACTTTGAGAGTGATGAAGATTCAGATTCAGACAGCGCTGAAGAAAGAAACTCCGACTAACTTTATTGTACAGAAAAAGCTTACACCAGTAGCTTACCTAATTTTAGAATGCATTTTTCTGTATGAATTCTGTAAAATAAATACCATGCATAAAATTTGGAGGACCCCATTTGGATTTTTATTCAGTACCTTTAAGCTATCAATTAGATATGGTAGTTTCATAGTGTCATCTGATCAATAATTGTCATACTTAATGATTATGCAAGTACAGATCTATAATTTTATTATACTATTATTTTTGTTCTCATTTGAGGTTAATATTGCTTATAAACCTAGATATGTAAATAATAAATTTTATTATTTTACAAAAAGTTTGGCAACAATGTAAATTTTTCAACACACCCACCTTGATGACGTGCACGCCACTTTGTTTGGCGTTGACTATATATTGATATTTTAATTTGATACAAAAAGTGCGCACATGCGTACTGCACATCTTGACTATACAGCGTCTAACGCCAATCATTTAAAATCCGGGTTTGCATATAGGATAAGCAAGGACAGCAGGAGTAGGGGAAAAACACGAAAATCGCAGATTTGACGGCAAAAGTGAAAAACAAAACTTTTTGTCGAAACAGCAACGAAAAGTGTGGTTAGAAGTTAGAATAGATAGTAGTAGTAGAAAGATTTATTTAGAACGTTTGGCTACATAAACAGAATAATTGTAAACAACTTAGAATTAGTGAATTCAAGCCATATGATGGATGATGTAAATGCTGGACAAGCTATAATTGTAGATTTAACAAGTGATTTCTCAATTTTACTTACTAAATTTTGTCAATGTTTTCTGGTATTTCATCTCTCGTGTATAATTTATTATATTCAATCAACCCTTGATGGAGTACAGATTTGTAGCATATGCTATACTTTTTGGTCATTAAATGGAAGTCATCTTTATTTCTGGTATTATGTAAATGATGGTCGGCATTTGATGATGTTAAATTAGTTAGACGCATGTTAGACGTGATGGAAATTCATTATTTTTTACTTTATAAATGAATATCATAACAAGATATTTAATATTTTTTTTACATTGAGCCATTTTAATTTGCAAAGCATTTGTCTAATTGGAGTATATTTACCTTTATATCTTTATTCAGTATTATTCTCATGCACTTATTTTGTAAAATTTGCAGTCTTTCAAAAATGGAATTATTTGCTAAATATATATTAGAATAGTCGAACAGTACAAGAAATTTGGAAGAATGATTGTATTATAGATCATTTGGCTGCTATATGAACTCAGACATCCAGAAACTCTTGATAAATATTCCACTTTACTACTAATCTTATTCATAACTTTGTCATAATGAATATCAAAAATTAATCGAGAGTCATGTTTGACAATGCGACATATGATAGTTTGAAGCTGACAGAAACAATATTCTCTATTACTTCTGTGACAGGATTCTAATTATTAAAAATTGAGAACTAAATTTGGTAACACATTCTTTCAGAACAAGTTTGTTACAGAATTATATACAAAAAATTCGTATCGGGACAGACCCGCCCTAAGGATATTTTCGCAAATTTTTAGTATAAATATTATTATAAAATTAGAGATCAGAAAAAATATTTATATATAATATGGAACAGTTGAATACTTACGATCTTTCACGTCGAACATATTCCATGAATTCTGCACAGTGGATCTTCAGATGAGCAATCTGGGATGGATTACACCTGAAGCACAACCAGTCGTCGCTATCTCGAATATCTGCGATTTTTTTCCTATCAAAGTTGATCCTAATGCATTTCTGAAAAGAGAAAAGATTCAGTCAATAAGATTTAACAAATAATAACAGAGTCTACGATCATGAATTAAAGGAAACAGTTATTAGAAGAGGCGTCTAGGCATTTTGGTAAAGAATTTTGGTGGTTATATTTTATTAAAATGTTTTAAAGAGTATTAGATACTTTGGGCTTTTGATTTCAAATAGATCCTTGAACAAAATCACAGGTTTTTTCTGAGGGCTTTTGGCGTCTTCGGGACGAAGGACGAGGGTGACGTATCTGGTGCACATTAAAAATATGTTAGATAACCTCATATTCGCTTGTCGTTTTGTAAGGCTGGACGACCTTTTGGGGGGCGGAAATGCCAACCCCAAGGCCTTTCTCATTACTGTAGTAACATACTGTATGGGAATATGATAACAAAAAGAAAAAACAAACGAAGCCTCATCTGGAAGACGGATAAATAAAATATATTGTCAAAGCCATTGTACGGAAGGTCACCGTTGTGACTGAAACGTTTACAATAAAAGAGGCTTTTTTCAACACGTTTCATTTGGACAGAAAAATATGACATGACGTGCAAACCACAGGATAAGTTTCAGATGTCATAAAATGTCCAGTCGCTGAAAAATTGCGCCAAATTAAAATTCCTACATACATATTGAGAAATAATTCATTATCTGAAATTACGCGTATCATTTTATGCACAGTGCGAGCCGCAGACTGGCTTTTTTGTAAACTAACGCCCTTTATTTCAATGTAATTCCCAAGTCAAGATGGTTCTTAGGCACCTGTTTTGCAGGACTTGTAGAACTTGTATACGTATATTGACAACAATTGTTTGACTGGTCCACACCTTTTATTCTCTTTAGCAGTGCGATCCTGCCATTTTACAATGTTTTCAGCGATTCTGAGGTGATCTTCGTTGGTTCGAATTGCTTACCTTACAGAACACCATTTCACACTGGGCGCAGCACATAACTTGACCTCCCTGGCCGCACCACCTGCAGTATAACTCGCTGCCATCCTCGTCCTTTTCGAATTCGCCGCTGCAGTAGAAGGAATAGCAATTTTTGCATATGAGCACCTTCAGCAACGGATGCACGAATCGGTTGCCTTGTCCGTCGAGAGCGCTGCCCAAATGGACGTTGCATGCCGTACAGTGGATCTTAGTGAACTGGACGGGATTTTCTGCAAAACAAATAAAAAATGGGACCTTGAGTAGCAATGGGATGTGGTGGCAACCGGATACGCAACCGCGCGTGAGTGCTTGCGGCGACATCTAGAAGTTGTGGTCGAGGTTCGAGATGTACCTACTGCGCGGCCTGGAAAACGCTGGAATGGTTCTCGACTCGTCGATAAAGGAATAAGTACCATATCAGGTGGCGGATGCGGGGGCTCGCAGTCGAGACAGTCAAACAACGCGAAATGTTATAGTACATTAAACATGGTTATAAATGTCATAAATTAGTTGCAAATGTTATAAATTTGTGTAGAGTAATAAATTAGATTTTGGACAGTAAAACGGTGTTTTCGATACAATACTATTTTTGGCACAAGTAAGCACCTTCCAGACAAAAGTACGTACTTGTTTTAAAACATTTAAATAACACAGGTCCACAAAATAAAAATGGTGATGTGTTTGACCGTCTTTTTCCCCATGTACTTTTTCACGCTGAACGCGTATCTGAAGCCAAAATTGGTAGTCGGTGGACAAATAAGAAAGTAATTCAGGAATTAAGATCACACTTTTTGGCATTTTTTGTGAAAGTGCTCTTCAAAGGTTCCTGAGAGATGCATATCTACCAAAATACCATTTTTTATCATTCTGACGTCTAAATCATTTTCATATTCGTCCATCCTTCATCAATTTTTCCTTGAGATTCCCGTTCAGAGCGAAAAATACATGAAAGTGGGTCTCTAGTAATTCTCATAGCCTATATATAGTGAGGATCAAAATGCACTTGTCATCAGTCAATTTTTTTACAGTTCTGTCATTAAATTCGTATATTTAGTGTTATTTTTAAAAAGTGCGAGTGTTTGTAGACAATTGTAGTGTTAGATGATTTTAATACATGGTACCTCTTGCATAATTTGCAAAGATCAGCACAAGCCTAGTGAAGCTAGACAGATAAGTATTATTATCATGTTGATACAACGCTGTCACTTTGGTAGGCATTGGTACACAAATGAGTCAAAAGTATGCACTAAAGGTACGCAATTTTGGCGACAAACAATGCAACGTAAACATATAGGCTGGGCTGCTAATCTATTTCAATTCGTTAGGAAAAACACAGTCGGACCTCAAACACATGCCACTATTTTATTTTGCGAACATATGCAACCGATTATTATTATAATGGTATCAATAGAATATATTTCAAACAAATCAAATAAAAACACAGATGTACCTAGAGAATGTGTACTGGGTCTGATTCCATTCTTAGTATCGATTTAAATAAATTTAAACGTAAATGGCAGATTTATGGATTTTTCTGACGATACCACAAGAAACAGATACAAATGAAATTAAAAAAAAAAATGACATAAACAGGCAATCAAAAATTGTCTCACCCTTTTTTAATGTAAATAGGACGAAATTTATGAGTTTTGTATGCTCCCCTGATTCAATAAATTTAATACTTAATACACAAAATAGACAGCAATAAATTTTTAGGACTAATCACAAATTAGATTTTACCAATCATGTAGAGCAGCTGATTACTCGGTTGACAAAGATTGACCTCATTATATGAACAATTAGTCACCACATAGGGAAAAGCACAGCCTTAAGCGGTTATTTTGTACATTAAGATACATCATTTTCTTTTAGGGTTCTAAAGTTTCTCGAAACAGGTGCCGATACTTGAAAAACAAATCTATTATATTAAGAATAACTAAGAACAATCCTAAATTTAAAATAACTGTCATTTCATTGTTCATTTTAGGAACAGTAACTCTTGTTTTTACAAATATGTAAATCTAAACATTAAATATGAATTACAATAACAGGTGATAACAAGGTCTCGATATTACCTGCATCAATATTTGTGAAACAATAATTTATAATGGTCTGAAAATTCACCTGCGCATCCTCGATGCTATCTAAGGAATCAACAACTTAAAGATATTCCGCCGTGAACTCAGAAGCATTCTAATGAAAAATAAACAATATTATTCCTTGTATGAGCTCTACAATGCATTTTCTCAAGATCAAAATATTCCAATTTATTATAATATGTACTATTTTTGTTTCAAGTTAGCTTTGCCATTAAGAAAAAATGTATTTTTCGAAGAATAAAGCATATTTATCTATCTATGATGTATAATAGAGGAATTAAATAGATCAAGACAGTTTAATAGGCCCATATAGTTAGGCCCCAGCCCCAGCCATTGGGCAAGCAATACCAACATTGCGATCGGAGTTGCGATGAGTAAACCGCCATCACATTGGTTACCTCCCGACAGGTCTATATCCTATTTTCGTTGCGCTCGATGCGCATAATATTTCTATCATTCTACTCAAAAGTCTTAATGACAAATATACGGGGAACTCTATGCGTGAAACTTGTCTAAGAGGTGCACGCGGTGTTAGAAGCATATGGATTATTTAATCCAAGAAATTGAGACATACACTTCCCCCACCTCCTATAACCCCCAACAAAATTTTGTACCCCTTAAAAGAGTTTCCAAAAATGAGCAGGAGTTTCTGGAACGTCCAAAAACGATTTGTATTACCTTTTTCGTTTTTTTTTTGCGTGTATCTCCACCGCCACTGGATCGATTTTCAATAATTTTTTTGTCCTAGGCATAGTCGTAACCTTCTGTCAAAATGTCATCAAAGTCCCAGCAGTTGCAAACTTATAGAGGAGCCAAAGATAAGCAGACAGACCGACAGACAGAAGCGTACTCATTCCCTAATTTTTGGGGATTGCAATAATTCTCTGGCAGTAGCGTGGGAAAAATAGGTTAGTAAATAGGAGAAATGCTAAATAATCGAAACTAAAACCTCGCCTTATGGGAAACATTTTCGATTTTTCATTCATAATCTCGTTTGTTGGATTCCCGCCAATATGAATAAAGAAGTTGCAGAGCGGTAACTAGGTGCAAAGTTTAAACAATCATATTTAACACATTACAAAAAATTATTGATTAGCTTAAAATGGTTGTTTAAGTTTTCTGAACAAAAAACGTCCTTGGTAACTTCTATATAAAATTTCCTTTTTCAAATTATAAGTAATTCAACGTTTGAAAAAACCTAAAAATGACGATTTTCAATTCATAAAAAACGTTAAAATATTTAGTATTTAGCCAGGTGTTTAAAGATGAATCCCATTTTAGGCTTAGTTTGCTAGAGGGAGTTTTTGAGTTTTTATGGACGCATGCTGTTAGAAACTAGGCTAAAAAACGAACACGAATATACTCACTTTGTCCATAAGTTTCCTGTCTAAGTTGTTCCTCCTCCAGAGACAAATCGAAGCAAGCTACAAAAAAAATGTTAGTCTAAGCTTTGGATACGTATTATTCAAAAAACTCACTTTCTGTTCCAGTCATCTCATCAACATAGGTCGAGAACACCGCATCGAACAGGATCGGACTTTTCGCACCGTCGTCGCCGCCTTGAGCATTCTGATCTGAAAAGATATTGAATTTTGTTTCGGCCTGCATTCTACAGACATGTAAAAGCTATTCGTATTCAAGAAGTGCCAATTTGATAGCACAAACATCGCGTGACAAATCTGACAAACAATTCTGACAGGCTGTCAATGGTAGCTTGACTTTTAAGGTGATAAGTAATTTGGTACACATAATACAGAGTGTTAGTTAAGATATTGATCAATGCATTCCACCTGAAGGTAGCTAACCATATACTGTACTCCGGGGTCCAAAAATGGAACTGAAAGATACTAGCGCCATCTATGAGACAGTGGCAGAACCAAACTCTTTTTTCAAAGTCTATTTTTAAATTCAGAGTCAATTTGAATTCTGAATAATACCCAGCGACTAAAGAGGCAAATAGCAGAGTAGAAGTATCTGTGAAGGTACGGACAACGCTTAGCACGGAGACGGCCACATTTCTAAACCCTGGATGTCCCGGTTCCACAGTAGCGCGATCAATCACAGAGTGCATGCAGTTGCGCATGCCCTCAGGGGAGGACTGGCGCACGGCTAGGGAGATTGTCACCTTCGAAAGGACGGTATGGGCAGTAGATTCGTTTGCTCCATACAAAAGTCCAGGTCTGGACGGCGTATTTCCGGCCATGTTACAGCAGGGACGGAGTTCGGTTGTTCCTTACCTGTTGAATGTGTTTCGAGCATTTGTGGCCACGGGCTTCACACCTAGAAGCTGGCGGCAGGCTAAAGTGGTATTCATTTCTAAACCGGGCAGCGCTAGATATACTGGCCCGAAGATTTTTCGACCGATTACTCTTTCATCTTTCGTGCTTAAGACACTGGAAAGGATAGTTGATAGATACTTAAGGGATGGCCCGCTGGAAAGGTGTGTCATTCATGCAAATCAGTTTGCATACCAAGCTGGAAAATCGACTGATCTGGCCTTACACAATCTGGTCGGTAGGCTGGAGAAGACTCTAGATCAGCGAGAAGTGGCACTCGTGACCTTCTTGGACATTGAAGGTGCATTTAATTGCACCACAACCGACTCTATCAGACATGCCTTGGTTAGACAGGGGGTTGGATCAATCCTAATAGATTGGGTCCTATCTACTCTGGAGGGTCGGGTAACAACAGCTATGCTGAATGACGTAAGCTGCAGCGTGAGTGTAGCTAGAGGCTGCCCTCAGGGCGGAGTTCTGTCACCCCTACTGTGGTGTATCGTGGTGAACGAACTCCTCGTTAGGCTCAGCAGTATGGGTGTCTACGCGCAAGCCTATGCTAATGACGTAAGCATAGTAGTTAGGGGGCGTTTCTGTAGAACAGTCTCGGAAATTACGGCAGGGCGCTCTGCGCTCCGTGGAATCGTGGTGTAGGGAAGTCGATCTTTCTGTTAATGCTGAAAAGACCGAGCTGATCCTATTCACTAGGAGAAGAAGGCTTGACGGGCTGGACATGCCGACCTTCTTTGGGACTAGATTAGTTTTGTCCCAGTCAGTGAAATATCTGGGAATTATCCTGGATTGCAAACTGAACTGGAGAGAGCATGTGGAATACAAGGTTAGAAAGGCTCGCAATTCGATGTGGGCTTGTAGACGTGTTGTCGGGGTAAGGTGGGGGCTTAAACCCAAAGTGGTATACTGACTCTACACGACGATAGTACGTCCATCTCTCTTGTACGGCTCCTTGGTCTGGTGGCCTTGCATTAGAACTGAGACAACTAAGGCCAAACTCAATAAAATTCAGGGTTTGGCCTGTATTAGTATTACAAGCGCAGTGCGAACAAGACCATTGAGTGCAATGGAAGCTCTGTATATTTGCGATTCTGGCTTGTGTATCTCACATTCTGGAGGAGGGTGGGCATAGGAGAAGAATAACAATCTTATCCGACAGCCAGGCTGCAATGAAAGCACTAAGTGCCTGTAAGATTACATTGAGTCTTGTATTGCAATGCAGGGAGGCTCTGGATTGCCTCGCAGCGAGGCATCCGGTATCGTTAATATGGGTACCGGGGCACGCTGGGATAAGGGGCAATGAGACGGCGGACACTCTGGCGAAGACAGGTCCTGAGCCAGCTCTAGCATAAAGCTAGGAGGAAAATGGAGACGTGGGTTGCAAGACAACACTCTCAGAAATGGAGAAGTATCTCCAGACATCTCCGCCAGGCACGAGACCTCATTGAAGGGCCCAGTGCTAAGGATGGACGCTTCTGCCTATCTCTGGATAGAGCCAACCTAAGGTTGCTGGTGGGACTGATGTCTGGCCATAACACGTTAAGGCGTCACCTGCACGTGATGGGGGTGGCTGAGGATCCCTTGTGTGAACGCTGCGGAGTAGAGGAAGAGACCTCGGCGCACGTTTTGTGTCGCTGTGAAGCTCTGAGCTACTATAGGCAGACTATACTGGGGTCCATTACTTTGGACCCTCAGGACGTCAAGGAGCTTGGACTCAAGGCGATTCTCAACTTCGCTAAAAGGGCGAGGCTTGTGATCTAAGGATTGTAGAGGTGCATAAGGGCCCGCTTAAGCGGAATGCCTCTAATTTCAAGATTCATTCATTCAAACCCTAGATGCATCGGGGATGTCCCCAGAAATGTCAATGTGAAGAGACAGCGACTGGAGTCAAAAACACCTGTATGAGCTGCTGAACTAACAGAAAGGGACAAGACCAACGAGAAGCTCACAACTGAAATACAGAAACTGTCAAAATATCTTATCAGAACTAACCGAAAAGAAAAAAGGCAAAGAGGCCGACGGGCTATGTCCTCTTCTGCGTCGTCTCCGGACGTGGGACAGACATTTCTGTCGAGCTCTCTGTACTTGACATGCATCCATCACCGCAAGTGGACTCAGGATCCGAATAGGAGGGTCTGTTCAGAAGGCAGGTGCAAAACAAATATTGAAAAGTTGATAAATCCGAAAATCCACGCGATCAGCAGCTACGAAACGTCAGAAGAAATGCACACGGCATCTCTGTGGATCCTTCAACATCGACGGTACACATCAATTCTGACAAGACGGATGTTAGATATGTTGAGGGATCCTCAGAAATGGGAGATTATCTCAAACATTTTCGTAAATGAAACTACAAAGTCAACATTGACCTTGGCATCGGAATGTTCCCTGCTCAGGTTGATGATTATAGGGCGATTGTACGCCCTTTTAAAGATATGAACAGTTACCACACCTTCCACCTACCGGAGGAAAGAAATCTACATTTCAACAGAAATTATGGTTAATTTGCAAGGCAGGTGCAAAACTCACTGCAGGACGTGATTCCCATGTCAGGAAAAACTGAAGTTTGTATCGTCAAATGGCGTGGTTGACACTTCAAATTTATTATTGATAAGATAACATGGGGAACCAGCTCGCTACTATTTTTGCTCCGCACTGGAATACATTTTTAGTCATTCGTATTAACTTGATAATAACAACGATGTTAATCTTGTAGCATAATATTTGTTGAACTTACCATTAGATGCTGCAATAACAGGTGCTTCATCCACTTCCATGGCTACTTCTGGACAGAGAAGCGACGGATCAAAATCAGACGGGTCAAAGTCTTCGTCCATTTCCTCTTCATCATTCTCCTGTTCTTTCGTATCATCAACAGGTTTTGATAAGGTTTCTTTCAACAATGAAAAGTCACCTCCTTTGTCATTTTTATCCGACTCTCCTGTAAAGTTGATATTTATGTAGTACCAAATATAATAAATTTATGGAACTTGATGAGATAACTGCATAATAGAAAAGCAGCTCTTCCGCTCCGCGACAAAGATAAAGGTGTCCGTTTCTAGTGTCTATCAACCAATTACTTCAACTTGGCTGTTGACATAAATCCAATCAAGCACAATGTGCCCGAAATTTGAATAATCACGCTGGCATGAATATAAAGTAACAAGCAACAAGCAGAATCGCATTGCAAATCACTGGACGTTTGGTCCTTAGCACAATATTAACATTGTGAAAAAATTTCATCAAAATCCCACCAGTACTTCTTGAGTTGCAGCCGGCTATAGGATTAGCGGACAGACAGAACGCCAGGCGGAAATCAGTGACAGAGTTTTTCGTGTATATCATATAACATTAAAATACATATCTTATTTTAGAAATTTTTCGCGCCTACAATACTTTCTCGCCCAGAGGCGTAGAAAGTAAAAAAATGTATAGCCCATTACTCTGAACTTAATGATTAGTTTACAATCTGCACGGGATTTCGACGGCACCGTAGTGAAAAGTTGCTGACTATTTCATACATTCACATATTTGCAGATGTTGAACAAGCCAAGAACAGCATCTCAAGAAACAAATAGTGAGTTTGTGATGCTTACCTTTGGCATCACTCTGTGAAGTTGCTTCCTCATTTTTATCTTTCTCTTCATTTTCCTTATCTCGACTATCGTCTTTTTCTACAGTTTTTTCAGCTTCCGTAACCGCTTTTGTTTCATCTTTACTATCTTCTTTTTCTACAGTTTGTTCAGCTTCGGTAACATTTTTTGTTTTATCGGCATCAGTTTCATTGTGATCAGATTTAGCTCGATCATCAGCTGGATCTTTTTTGTTTTCAGGGCAATCTTTTGTAGAATCATTTTCAGTTTGATCTTCATCAGTTCCATTGTGGTCAAATTTAGCTGTATCATCAGCTGGACCTTTTTTATTTTCAGGGCAATCCTTTGCAGACTCATTTTCAGTTCGATCTTCAGTTTCATTGTGGTCAGATTTAGCTGGATCATTTTTGTTTTCAGGGCAATCTTTTGCAGAGTCCTTTTCCGATTCACTCTCATCAGTTTGTCGGTCTAAATAGAATCAAATTAACCATTAGAAAAAAAAATAAGTGGTGATGATGATAGTTTATTCTATACCTGAATTTGGGACTCCTTCTTTATCTTTACTCTCAGTAGGCTCCATATCTACATCTTCTATAGCTTTCTCATCAGATGCTAATTTTGTATTTTCTTCCCCTAAAAGAAACTCCTAGATTTAGGAAAACATATTCTACAGAAACAGCAATCTAAATGGTGGTGGAAGACTAGAGAAGAAGTATAGATGAGAAAGAATAACAGTATTTTTAGATTTCCAAAGGGCATTTGAAACTATAAGAGAGGAAAATTTGTTAAAGAAATTAAATCAATATTAAAGGATCAGTATTAAACATTTTACAAAATTATTGAAATTGAAGTAATCGAATCATTCAAATATCTGTGTACATATCTGGATAGTAAGCTGTTTCATCATTTCAAAAGTATAAAAAAGATATAAATTCCTTCTATAGTTTCCCCTAATGTCAGAAGGTATTCAAAAAAATTGTGTATAACACTGTAATTCTTACCCATTTTTTATATTCTTCAACTATGTTGATTACAACAAATGAATATATGTTTTCAAAAATACAAATTCTACAAAATAGAGCTATGAGAATCATTTTAAATAAAAACAATTATGCTGAGACTGAGTCTATTAGAACTGCAGTGGTTGAATGTAAAATATTTTATATGTTAATTACTTAGTTCTCATTTTCATACTCAAATTAAAAAATCAGTTATTACCACCCCATTTAGAAAACTTCACAAAATTATATAGCCATTATCATAACTATGGAACTAAAGGCAGTATAGATTTTTATCTGCAAAATTGTAATAAAAGCGTAACTAGCAAACCTGTATTTCAAGAGGGAGTATTTGAGTTTAATAAATTGAATAATAATATTAGACAGTGTTCAAATTTAAAAATATGATGTAGTTTTAATCGCAAAAAATGTAAATGTACAGAAACATTATTCAATGAATGTGTAATAAAATAATTATACAAAATTGAGATTGTACCATTAATGCTAAATAAATCTTCAACCGACAAACAAACAAATAAAATTATAATGATAGAAGACATTTTATCATTTACTGTGGTATTAAATGTCTACTCTACAATAAACCATCTGTTTAAACTGCATTTTATGGTAAAAAAATATTTCTAGTTTATGTTTACCTGTTGAATCAACTCCCACATCATCCTTACATCCTTCAGACTCCTGGCAAGATTCATCCTCAGGCTTCTTTTCATCTTTACTTTCTTCCACTTTCTCTTCTTCTTTTTTTTCTCCCTCCTGGCTATCACCATTTACCTCTACATTTTTTAAGTTCTCATCAACACTCTTCACCTCACTAGTGTCAATTTTGCTTTGACTAGTTTCATCTGTTTTTTTATCACTTTCAGCCTGGTTTTCGCCTTTTTCCTCATTTTCAGACTCACCCAAATCGTCATCATCATCACTTTTTGAACAGTCTAGATTCAAAGGTACATCTTCCTCATCATCAGTGTGACTTTCGTCAATATCTGCACATGCCTTTTCAAAAGAGGTGTCATTTTCCTTGACTCCAATGTCACCTAAAATTTATGTTCTGATATTGGTTATGTTCAGTTGCACCTAGCACCTCTGCTTAAGTATACCACTGGCTGGGCAAAGATGATGGAAAAAGACCTAATGCAATAGATAGTTTTTCTATTAATGGCAGAAAGAGAAGAATTTTCCATGTAATTATGCAAGACATCTGACACAAAAAATAAGTGCAGGAGGCATATTGATGATCACATATTGAGATTATTTAAAATATTAATATGCTATTTTCTCTACACTTTTTGCATGCAAAAATCGAACAATAGATCCAGCAACAGAAAAAGCGATGAACATGTTAGAAATATTCTGGGCACAAATAATAACATATAAAGAAAGCCTTGTTTGAATGAGCAAAGAGAAAGAATCTGCGTTAACCACTCAAGAAAGAAAATTAAAATATATATGAGACATAACAGGAGGAGAGAGGTATAAGTTCTCAAAATTATAAATGGGGGTAAAGTGAGGGTAATAACTGGCCTGTATTTGTAGGTAAAAAAGGTGAAGTTCTGTTGTATTGAATATTTCACAACATGACCGTAGAAATATGATATTTTGAAATAATACCCAAAGATTATAGAATTGTGAATTTCACACCAATATGACATTCAAACAGTAAACACAAGTATAGGTTAAAAGTTAGATAATAAATTAATATACTATACATTAGGCAGAAGATCGAAGAAAAAATGTTTGGCTCAAGATTCAAATTTGATAAGAAGTAGATGTTTCAAGGTGTTATAAACATTTGCCCTCTTAAAAAAAGCTACACTGGTACATAGACCTATGTTTCGATACAAAAATCAAGGCTTGACATTATGAACACTGTCTCTGAAAATAAGTTTATCCCTAAGGTAGAAGCTAGAAATAATCTTGTAAATGAGAACTGCCATATTGAAATTAAATGGAATAGAGGACTCATGTTTAGCCATCCAAGATCGTGAAGCTTATCCGAGATATTAAGAAATATCCTTAAGTGATATATAAAAGGAATGCAGGAGTTTTGGATCTTTTGTATGCACCTTTGACTGGCCAGATCCAAACATGGGTTAGGAACAACTTGAGTCCATTAAGAAAATTCTATATCCTTATAATTATTTATTTGTTTGAAAATCCTCTTTGTATGAAAATATGGAGTATTGTTCTGTTTCTCATTATAATTACTCTTGCATGGAGTTACTGAGCTAGCTAATGATGACACTGATAAACAGTGCTTTGACTAGGAGAAAATTCTTAGCTGAATATTTCTATGCATTTTTTTAAATATTATCAACATATTTTGAATTGACCACACAAATTTTTATATGTACTTTCATTGCACTCACTCATTTCATACAAAAATATGTGAGAAATAAGGACAGAAGAACTCTTATATTTTTGTAGGTAATGTCACTTGCTAATCTGAAATACAGGGTGTTTTAGTTTATACAGAGTTAGTGATATTTAAAGATTTTTACCGCTCTCTTTGAAAGTTCCGTCCATCGCATCTACAAAATGTTTGCTTTTTGCCTGTTCGTACGTTGAAATTGTTTCTAGAAACACAAAAATTATTGAATATATTAAAACAGTAATAAATAAGAGTTACCAATTTTCATATTTCTCGGTTTGGAAACAGTATACAAATTTTCAAGTCGAACACTTTTTGTTTACAATGGGAGAAAATACATTTTTCCGAGAGTTTATGTCAAATCTGACAACGACGCCAGACAATTGACAATTTGATTTCCCCAAATCAGGTAAGTGATGGGAATGTTCGAATGAGACAGATTAGGGGTAATCGTTCCTAATGAAAATAAAAAACCGGCTAATAGCGGTAAAATTGATTATTAATAATTGAATGAGGAGTAACTAAATGAGATAATAACACACGTTTATTGGCAATGACATTTTAACAAGTTTGAAGGGCAATATAGTAGTAGACAAAATGTTAAAAATCCCTTCCCCTTAACTTAAAGCAAAAAATCACAACATAATCGATTATTCGAATATAATCGATTAAGGTAATTCTATAGCTTAGCTACACCAGCCGTTCTTGATGAAAAAATGATTTCAGACCCTCGTTTTTGGATGTAGGTGAAAGAAATGGGTCCTAAAATGAGCGCAAACGTGAAAGTTCTGAAATATTTTACTATATAGTAGGTTTTTATTGAATGTTTGTTTTCAAAGTCTGTGAAATGTTGCCAAATGCATTACTTCATAGGTTTCGTGTTAATGGATATTCTTAATAATTAAATTTGTAGACTACGAACTCCACACAACCCTACTCACAGTTTTATGCACTATGCGACTCAAAGGCAACACATTCTAGATTAAATGAAGAGCTGCTACGCGTGGAAATGGGAATTTTCGATAATTTCCTTATATTTCATCAATATGGCATCATCGCGGTACGTATAGGACCTGTTCTATTCTGCAGATGTCGTGATAGAATAAAGAAGGTGTTTATGTTTTTTAAAACCCGGATAGATAATATCAACAATATTCTGCAACCAACCCATTTGCGGGCATTTTAATCTCATTTCCATCATTTACAACCCAAACCTCGTGCCTATTTGGACGGAGAAGCATAAACGGCTGGTGTAGCTAAGCCAGAGAATTACCGTCAAACCTGTAAGTTGTCCTTTTAGGATACTACGCGTCAAATACACGATTTAGCTTAGTATCAAGAGAATAGTCAGTTTGACATTATTTGCTAACCTCAATACCCTGCGAACCCAGCTTTAGTTCACTCCTATATTTGCAAATTAATCAATCAATCTACTAATGGTGCATAAATGATGCCTTGTTACTGTTGATACTATACAAAGCAAGCAACATAGGAAATGTAAAGGGCAACAATGTACCACGGGTGCTGCCCATCGAGTGAAACGTAAAGCTATGCTGCTAACTGTTGCCATTTACACATTCTATGATGATTAACTTGTGTAATATTGGCAGTAGTATTATTATTATTAAATTATAATTTGTGCTTATTCTCAATCTCATTATATATATTGGGCAACTCAAAAAAAATCTCAATTTTAAACTGCGGACAAGACTGATAATCTTTCCATAAAGTATTCGACTTAACCCATCACTAACCTTCAATCTGCATCTGCAAGGCACACTTACACAATTTTTAAATTAAGACCATTCAGCAAAGAAATAAAAACGAATTTTATAAAATTTTTGCATACAAATACAAATCACTATTTCCGTTAAACCAATTACAAAAGCACTTGTCACAATATACTTATGACACGTGTTAAAAGTTACCGGCCCGAAGTTACATACAAGGCGGCAAACGGCAAATACTGCCATAAACTGGCTTTGTGTGTTTTCCACCAGCTATGATGCTTGGAAACTAATTTTGTCCATAAAATTTACTGAAGACGTAATTTCCAAACGTATGTCCTAACTAGGTTCAGGGGATTGTCAATCGTGACCGGTCTGACTCAAGGTCAATATAAGCCAAGCGCGGGAAAAGAGATAGCGCTACCGTATGCCGATAACGTAGAAACCTGCAGAGACGTCGAATGTCACATCTGTCGCCTCTCTAATTAAAAAATGTATTTGGAAATTTTTGAAGGAAAACATTGTTAAGATGACTTACGTCTTGGGTCTCTAATATCATTTAAATCTAGCATCAACAAAATAATAGGTATACACAAATTTACTCATACAAATACATTAAACACAAATAAATATGTGTGTAAAAAAACAAGCTGGATAGTGAAATGTCAATTTGACATATTGAATGTAAGTTCTTAGGCAGGTCCCGGTGTCGAGTAGACTGACTCGTTATGTTTTATGATGACTGCCTATTATTATTACTGCTTTGAAAATCACACAAATTGAGAAACATTACTGAAATAAGAGGACAGATATACGGACACAAAATCTCAGTTATGGTGTCTTTATACATAAACGGTAGGTCGACAAGTAGATTCACTTTTAGATCTTTGCATATAATTAAATACAAATAAACAGTCAATTCCAAAACTACTACTGTCTATTTTTAAGTGGGGTATTTTCAAAATTCTTAGTACATCGATATATTAATTTTCTGCCCGTAAAAAATGTATTCCGAACGTTTTAATTTTCTTCTATGAACGAGAAGTGACATGATTTTTAAATGGTACATTTGGTATACATACCTACGTATATATCATTAGGTACCGAGTCAACCTACTCTTTTTTATTGTTTTAATCCCAGCCCAACAGCAGCCTCCGGTGTATCAGGCGTACCGGCAGCTATTTGATTAAAGTTTCGAAGTCACTACCTAATAATATGTCAAGGACAAAGAATGGTGTCAAGTAGGTAGACTTTTAGTTTCCTTGTATGGGGGGAGAGTGGTCATGACGTTGCGATCGACCATTATTATTTTTGCCTCCCCACTAGACCTATCCCACACCTCCCGTCTCTTCAATTTTGTCACAATGGCATTCGCTCGCAGAACCACTGATGCAGTCGTACCCGGTGTAACCGAACCGAAAAAGATGAAATCGGTAGACAGTGTCGTTGCAATTCGGTAGGTTCAAGGATAAAATCGCTAGGAGAAAAAATCGGGGCATTCGCAAGATCAGCGATGTCTCAAGGACGCCACGCAGCGCCCTCTATGAAAAAAAGTATATTTTTGTATTGCGTGCGCATACCTACACAACACAGGTTTTTGGGAGCATCTGTTGCTGAAAAAAAGTTAAGAACTTTGCATATAATTAAATACGAATAAACATTCAATTCCAAAACTAAAAATGTCTATTTTTAGGTGGGATATTTTCGAAAAATTTTAGTATATCGATATATTAATTTTCTGCCCTTAAAAAATGTATTCAGAACGTTTTAATTTCCTTCTATGAACGAGAAGTGACATGATTTTTAAATGGTACATTTGGTATACATACCTAGGTATGTAGCATTAGGTACCGAGTCAACCTACTCTTTTTTATTGTTTTAATCCCAGCCCAACAGCATTCCCCGCAGTATCAGGCGTACCGTCAGCTATTTGATCGAAGTTTCAAATTCACTACCTAATATGTCAAGGACAAAGAATGGTGTCAAGTAGGTAGACTCTTAGTACCTAGTTTCCTTGTATTCGACATTTACATTTTAAAATTCCCATACACATAAATTCTGAACTACACAATAAAAACCAACGTCAAAAATGTCTAGATGCACCATATGGTATGAGAGTGGTCATGACCACTATTATTTTTGCCTCACAAGGGCATTAGCTCTCAGAACCACCGATGCAGTCGCACCCAGTTGAAACTCTGGAAATATCTGAATTATTTTAAAAAGTCGTGGAAAATGAGCACGTTTTCGATATTTGGGTAAATAATGTTTCATTTTTATAGAAATACCGAAAAATAGGTGCAACACTGCTCGCGCTGGATTTAAAAATATTAACAATTTTAGACAGTTTTGTTTGGAAGCGACTCAGGTTATTTTAGCCCCAAAATTTTTGTGTGATTCTATTTTTGAAATTCAATTTTAGAATTTGAAAATTTAGGGGTTGCTACATAAAAAAGGTATTCTTATTGAATGTCGATAAATTGTGCCATTTTTGAATAAAATCAAACTAAAAAGTTTGTCACATGATAGGAAATGTACTGGGAATTTAAATGAATTATTGATTATACATAGTTAGCCATGACTGCAAACAAAAGTTGTTTTGATTTGTTATGACTTATTTTGACGTTAAGCTGACATTGTTAGCAGCGTAAAATTACTAGATTACATTCAAAATTTTTACTGAATCGATTTAAAATGCCAAGATTTACAGATACAGAACTGACTGACATGCATTTTGTGTACGGGTTTTGCAATGGTAGTTCATTGGCAGCCGTAAGAGAATATCAAAGAAGATTTCCCAATCGCATAGTACCTGTGGACGTCGAATATTCACCGGAATTTGTCAAACCATGGAACTTTTCAGCGCATGCAGGGCTCAGGAAGGCCACTGGGAAATCATCGTATGGATATTGCTTTAAATATGTTTGAAAATAATCCGCAAATAAGCATACGAAATGTTTCAGAAATTATGGATATACCTCGATCAATAGTAAGAAAAATGTATGAATACCTATTTGATAGTTCTCCTAAAAATAATAATTTTAGTTAGCAAGAATGACAAGAATGCAAGGATTACATACTTATCATTTTAAACGGGTGCAGCATTTATCGGAGGCAGATTTTTTTACCACGAATCGAGTTTTGCCAGTGGATATTAGCAAATGAAAACACTATTCCTAGAATATTATAGTCGGATGAGTCAATATTTACTAAGAATGGTGCTTTTAATTTCCATAACATGCATCACTGGTCAGATGAAAATCCAAAAGTTGTTCGCCGTACAAATTTCCAACATAGATTTTCATGGGCAGGAGTAATTGGGGATCAAGTAATTGGGCCTATTGTACTTCCCAATCGTCTTAATTCAGAGGTCTATCTGAACTTTCTTCACAATGACCTCATGAATATAATACCATTGGATGTGCGCCAGCAGTTTCAAGAAAATATGTTTTTTCAACATGATGGCGCCCCTACTCATTGTGGACGCAATGTTCGAAATTGGTTGAATGTCAATTTTCCAGACAGGTGGTTAGGCCGAGGAGGTCCTATAGCGTGGCCCTGACCTAAATCCATTGGATTTCTATTTTTGGGGGTCATTAAAAGATCTAGTTTACTCGACTGAAGTAAATACTCAAGAAGATTTACTTCAAAGAATCCATCAGGCTGCAAATGAAATAAGAAGAAAAAGGTTTTCCACTTTTCGGGCTACGCAATCATTAGTTCGTCGAACGAGACTCTGTATCTAACAAAATCGGAATTTATATAACACTTATTGTAAAGCTAGTTTTAAGTATATCCAACTGTATGTCTTCTTTTTTAAGCAATTTCGTTCTTAGAAAAATTTATTACTTTTGTTTTTGCCTAAATGTTAGCTATGTTGCAATAGAAATATGTATTTAGGTAATATTTACCAATTATTAAATTAGTTTTTTCGTTGCCATGGCTAATTATTCAACAATTCATTTAAATTCGCAGTACATTTCCTATCATGTGACAAATTTTTTAGTTTCATTTTATTCCAAAATGGCACAATTTATCGATATTCAATAAGAGTACCTTTTTTATGTAGAAAAGCCTAAATTTTCAAATTCTAAAATTGAATTTCAAAAATAGAATCATACAAAAATTTTGGGGCTAAAATAACTTGAGTCCGTCCCTGTTACATAAGCTTCCAAACAAAACTGTCTAAAATAGTTAATATTTTTAAAACCAGCATAAAAAACTAGGCTAGAATACCAAATTTTGTCTTTATCTCAACACGTTTCGGAAATATTGAGGAAAAACCATCTTCAGGGGAGCCCCTTTAAAAGACCGTAGCGCCCTTAGGGGACGTTTGTCGACCTCTGTTTATATAAACTTTTCTTCCTATTTTAAGCTCTAGAAGCCGCTGGTAGAATATTGTACACTTTTTTCGGTATACTGCGATTTTACACCAAACAATAAAAAGAAACCCATTTTCAGCGTTTTTATGGTATAGTACTTGTCTCCCCTAGACAGCTACCTAAATCTGCCACTGTGTCTAAGTGACCCCCATTCCCCCTTGCATTGTGCAAAATTTTGGTTATCTAAATTTCGCCACCTTGATTTTCGTTTCACTACAAAAATAAAATGCATTCAGATCCATAGAAAAATATTTTTATGAATGGGGTACCTAGATATCCTAAAATCATATATTTATGTTAACCAACGGACATTCCCAGGTTGGCTGAAGAATTTTTGGCGCCCTAGGTGAGTGCATTGCTAGGTGCCGATTCTCTGTGCCAGGTCTTGCTCAATGGAAATAGTTACCAGTCCAATCAATGGCTTTGGAGCCATATAAAATATGTGCCGGAAGTACGCTTTTATAGGTAAGCTTCTCAACATTGAGAAGCTTCTTTCTTATGATGATAAGGCTACTGGTAGCTTTAGAAGAATCCGCAAATCGCCAAATGAATTACTGACTGGTTGGTAAATTCTAGAAATAGCTTGAGGCTTGCCACACAACTCTATTATATCAACATCCTGACTGATTATTAGTCGACGCCTTATCAAGTTTTAGATCACAGTGATAGAACCCACTCTGTTTAAAAAAATACATTTGTCCAAATTTTTGCCTGCCCTACTCTTATCGGCAAATGGATTTAGTGATGTAGGTAAATACACCAGGAAGCTTGTTAACATGATTGAAACTTTGTGCGATTAAAATCGCACGGAAATGTTAAATGTAAAGAAAACATAAAAATATGAAGTAGGGTGTAAGGTAGGTATGCATGCATATTGGACATAGACATCAGACATCTTTGATCATCTATTTTTGAACAAACATTAGTAGCTATAGCTAAAACAGTAGATCAGTCGAGAGTTTGAAACGTATGAAAAACCGTAGATATC